TTATATCTACTATAAATATAATTTATAATTTATTATATTTAAGTATAAATTAATTATATCTATCCTAAATAATATAAATATTAATTAGTCTATTTATAAGTTATATATTTAGGTTATTTTAATATAATCCTTTCTCTTTTAATTACTTATATAATATAAGATTTATATAAAATCTTAAGATATAGATTATATCTTTAAGATCTAGGGAGGTCTAATATCTATTAGTTATTTTAAGATATATTATAATTATACTTACTCCCTTATATAGGCTATACTTTATATTAGTCTATAATATACTATTAACTAGTATATATATAGTAAATCTAGATTAGTTATTATAAATATATATACTTGCGCCTAAATCTAGGATATAGCTATTACTTAATATATATTCTATAATATTATTTATATTAAATAGTTCACCTACTTCTTATTAGGTATATATATTATCTATATTAATAGCTTAGCTTATTATAAAGCTTTTAGTTATATACTTATCTTTATTAGATTTAATATATATACTATAAATATTATATATTTAATAGGTGGCATTAATATTATATATCTCTCCTCTCTTTATATAGAGCTTATTTATCTTCTTATAGGCCCTATTTATAGTGCTTTTTAATATAAGGATTCTCTTCTCTACTTATTTAAATCTCTTTATAATAGTATTATCTAGTTTCTATCCTAGCTTCTAGATATACTTATTAATATATAGGTATATATTAAATAGATGTTATTTACTATATATATATTTATCTCTTTTCTTTAGTTTATAAGGGCCTTAAATCTAATTCTTATTAGCCTTTTTTTTAGCCTTCTTCTATCTATTTTTATTATATCCTTTATATATTATAAATACTATATCTATAGAGTTAATATACTTACTTAATTATATTATAAAATATTATTAAAAATCTACTAATAGTTTATTAATAATTATTACCTATAAGTCTTTATATTAAAGCTTTAACTCTATATTTAATATATAGCCTTTATAGAGTTAATTAATATAGCTTAAGAACTATAGTATTAACTATACCTTATTTATAATAGCTTTAATCCTTATATCTTTATAGTTATAGTATATAGATTCCTAGCTGTTTAACTATTTATTTAGATTAGTCTTTAATATATATTTATTATTAATATTTCTTTATTAATTTATTAGCTTAGCTTTATAGTGCATCTCTATTAGTGCTAAATATATTTATAACTACTTAATTATCCTCTTTATAGTGTTGTTATTAGTTATAATAATTAGGAGATTAGTCTATATAGACTAAAATATATAGTTTAAGATATAAAAGATCCTTATCTTTAACTATTTATATTCTTTTTACTTATAGTAATACTCTTTATTAGCTTTAGTATATATAATTAGTTAGTGTCCCTTTAGGTCCCTAGGTAATTATACCTCTTTATTATAATTTATAATATCTAGAGCTATTAGTAGCTCTAGTTTTATATTATTATCTAGATTAATATAATTCTAGATATTATATAAATCTATAATAATTTATAGGGCTTTATACTAAAGATGTTAGTCTATATTATTCTTTAATAAGACTAATATCTTTATATTATTTAATATCTTATCTAGAATACTTATTATCTTTAGCTTATTAGTGGTGCATTAATAGTCTATATATATAGTATAGATTTATAAATATTATTTTAGCTTAGTAATATTATTAATATAATAGTTCTATATCTTTAGCAGGTCTTTAAAGCTTATAAATAAATATAATAATAATTAAAAGTTAATTAGGCTTATAACTTTAATAAATCCTATATATATTTAGGGCTAATAGTATTATATTCCTATATAATTTATACCCCTAGGCCTATTTAATGTCAGTCAGGCCAGATATGCCTAGTGAATAAAAAATTAGAGTATAATGCTAACTACATTAGGCTTAGCTAGTCAGGTGATGGTGTAAATATATATGAATCATCCTGATTGGCAGCCTTAAGGTCATCCTTTTCTGCAACAAGATATTACATGTACTAGAAAAGTTTGGATTTCTTCAATGGCAGCGGAAGACCGCGATGAACCGCCTAATCACTGCACATATCTTGCTAGAAAAAGTTGCAGTTCTGCAGCTTGCTTCTGAAGTCTTATTGGATAGAGATTATCTCATCTGCGGCCGGATGGTGTAGTTGGTTATCACGTATCGTTAACACCGATAAGGTCCTGGGATCGAGCCCCAGTCTGGTCATTTTTTTTGGCATTCCATCCAATTTTTTTTCTGGGCCCAGCTGACTGTTTACCAAGAATGCTACCAAGCACAACCTACAATAGTCATTTAAAAAAAAACAATTTTAGCCCCAGTTCATATCCAGCATATCTTGCTGAGGCCCGGGCCGTGCCGATCATGCCGCGTGACAGTATTACCCCGCACCAGCGCCTGTATATAGATAAGTAGACCCCAACTGCTGGAAGACAGGACCTTAGGCAGTTCATTTCACTCTAGGCGGGTTGAAAGTATCTGCTTAGGATTTACTTACCATCCATAATCATATCTTTTAGTTTCCGTGAAAGCTCTCCATCGGGAACCCCTTATAATCATAATCTATTATGCCTACCAATATTGACCCCGACGCCCTTGTCAAGGCAGGGGCCTTCACCAAGAAGTTCTACCGGGACATTTACCCCGCCATCGACCCTACAGACCCTGCGCTCTCCCAGGCGGGCAAGGTGGTGGTTATCACAGGCGCGAGCAGAGGTCTCGGCCGGTCTGTAGGTTCGAGGATTTATCTTGAGAAACAGAAAAAAAGTGGCTCATCATTACATAGGCATTTGCCGCCGCCTTTGCCCGCGCGGGTGCTGACGCTATCATCCTCCTTGGCCGGTCCGTATCTGATCTGGCTGAGACGGCGGCTCTCGTCACTCAGATCAACCCACGGACGAAGGTCTTCACAGCCTCAACTGACGTGACCGATGCAGCCGTCGTGGATCGGGTGTTTCAAGAGATCGTGACCAGGTTCGGAGTGCCGCACGTCTTGATAAACAACGCCGGCACGTTGGAGTCGCTGAACTCCATTATTGATTCTGATGTGGACAATTGGTGGGCCACACAGGTATTTCTTTTCTTTTTATTCCCTTTCTCCCACGTCTTCTTTGCAGAGGACCGAGCGATATCTAGGAAACCAACGTTAAGGGAGTGTTCGTGGTCACCAAAACCTTCCTTAAACACCAGCCCAGCCCCCAGGCTGTCATTCTTAATCTGGTTTCGTCGGCTGCTCAGGCGCGGCCGCCAGAGATGAGCAGCTATTCAATGAGCAAGATTGCAATCGCCAAGTTCACAGAGTTTCTGCACATGGAACACCCACAGATCACCTCTATAGGGCTTGATCCAGGTATTATCCCGACCGAGATGGCTGTCCGCGTGCCCTTTCAGGCGCCGTTCATGAAGGACACGCATGAGCTAGTGGGGGGCACCGCAGTATGGCTTGCGAGTGGCGACAAACAGTACCTGTCCGGTCGATATATCTCGGCTAATTGGGACATGGAGGAGCTGCAGCATAGGAAAGACCAGTTTTCAGATGACCGGCTGCTGACATTTGCTTTGAAGGGTGACTTTGGTCATGGTCATGATCATGGCATCCAACAATATTTGATATAGAAAGCTTCCACGGATAAGATGGAAATGGACAATTACTCCTCCTGCGGTATCTTAGCTGGTGGATATCAGATAAAGTAGAGCTACTGTGGTGGATGGCTTGAAGTTGCGGCGGGTTAATATAACCCTCACTTAGCTTGTTCAATGTTTATTTGGCGATTTAATCACTAGGATTATTGAAATTCAGGAATGATGGGGATAATTCTGCAATGCTTCATACACCATTCATCCCAAGTATTGGTCAGTTCCACGGATTATTTTCCGCCTTTCTATGGAGCAAATAACATGATTTTAATCTTACAGTTGCCCACAATAGATGAAAACGTGGTAGGTCTAGAAATGCTTCGTGGCAACGCTATTTCAGGCATGTAACATGCCTGCTACTATCAGCCAGGCTATGACAGCTTCACGGCTAGTTCCACGGTGCTTATGTTGACTCTGAGCTGGTTCGGCGCTTTATAAGTATAAACCCTAAACCCAAACCTTTTCTCGGCGAATGGAGAGAATGGCATGTGAGTCCAGAATCAATATGTCCCTATTACCAACCCAAGACTTACCATTCGCTATAGTCGGGCCAGTACTGCGAGGTGATTGGCGCCAATGCCAGCGCTACGGATAAGGCGATCAAGAGCGAGATAGTCACCACGCTTCTGGGCAGTTGGAACAAGGTGGCGATGCGGTATCTAGCGGATCATCGCGCCTTATTCAAGAATGAGCGCTGAATCACGCTCCATAATGACTGCATCTTTGACGGCGGGCCAGATGGTTATGATGGCGGCACCTTTGACACATTCGACACTACTAGCTGCCAGTTCTGGGTTGACTATACGCTCAAGGTGGCTGGTGAGAACGCTTTTGGCGGGGAGCTGTGCAACAACGCGGGCGATGCAACATATAACTGGTCAGATACTTCGGCGCTGTGTGACCCCGAGGGGCTGGCGACCTATATCAAGACCATGAAGATTGCGTATTTTGAATGTAGGTTCCTCTCTTCCCTGCTATTGACACTCTAGCCTCTCACGCCAGACCCCCTGGAGGAGCTGTTTGAAAATACCACGAATCCAACGACCGTGGAATGCATTGCAGAGATCCAGAGAGCTCTGTTGGAGTGGAACTAGACTTATAGCAATTTTGATGCGTTAATGGATGGATTCATGGGCAATATGTACTCTACTATAGTTGCTTGGGCGGAAAGTCTTGTTATTGAACGGATTGAAAGTTTGGCTAGGAATAGCTAGCAATGAACGACTTGCGATCTCCTTGCAATCCCCTGTAACCTTTGACCGAATACCTTCATCTCAGGCTCGCCTGTTTTATGGAGAGAATACAGTTCAGATGATCTTCTATATGTAGCTTATGATCTACACATCCGTCCATCCTGATGGACCACCCACTCTTCACTTCCCACTGCTGTTATGCCATAAAGTAGGCCCTGCGGGTCATATTTCTTCTTAATCGCCAGCAGGTCCGGATAATTGTCTCCATAAAATACCTGCTGAAAATCCGGCTGCTGAAAGTCTGCCTCATTCATATACGCACCCGAACCTGGGGTGGCGGCTTCAATAAGTGGCTGTACAATGCGAGTGATATTATCCTGCCGCTCCCACATATCTGCAAAAGGGAGAGTGAAGCTGTAATCATATGTTAGGGAGGCGGAGACGATTGCGTCTCGCCAGGCGGGGAGGACAGCATTATCGCCGCCGAACCGGGAGACGTCAAGCCCAACGCCAATGAATGTGACCCCGAGATCAATCATCGCACGAGAAATGCTACTGAAGCCAGCTATCGCAGATCGGGGGATCAACCGGCCGCCAAAGAGACTAACCCCGACCTGAATGTTTCCCTCCGGTAACGGACCCCAGTAGTGATTGTAATGGTCGTAGTAGCTGGAGAATTGAGTATAGTTGGGCTTCACCTCAATCCCTAGTGAGGCCACTGAATCGATAAAGGGCTGTAAAATAGCAGCCACTTCGCCAGCAGTCTTATTATAGACCGTAATCGCAGGGCTTTTGATATACCCGGCTCCAAAGTAATAGATGATCATCACCCCCTGGTCAACAATTCCAGGGAGGGCGTCATGAAACGCATCCACCACGGCATACATTGCATCGGTATCACTGTTCGGAGCGGTAATGGTGAACTCGGCTCCACTAACAGTCGCATCGGGGAATACCTTGGTTGTCATTGAGAGAACCACGCCGTAGTTGCCAGGCCCTCCACCACTCAAAGCCCAGAAGAGATCGACATTCCTTTCACGGGACGCAGTTATAAGGGTGCCATTGGGGAGTACCACCTCAAATGACAGTGTGTTATCCGCTGCCAGCCCATATATTGTACTGAGAGCCGAATGGCCTCCACCCTGCACATAACCACCCACAATACCCACACTGGGACACTCGCCCGTCAGAACGGAGAAGCCAGCATCGTACGCTGCCTTGAGTGCATCAAAGCCCTGTACACCGGCCCCGAACTTCATTGCCGGACCGGTGTAATAGCCCCCATCAGACCAGGAGAGAACTTCGGTCTCTTTTAAATGATGCGTCCAGACGGAGAGAGCTCCCGCACCGGTCGACCGGCCGTTATAATCGTGTCCTGTATTACGAATCACAAAACGGATATTGTGTTTCGTGGCGAACTGAAGGGCAGCAGTCACATCGCCAGGACCAGAAGCATTCACCGCATACTGGACATAATTACCTAGTCGACACGGTCGGGAGATGGGTTGCCATGGGTCACAGCTATCATTGGCAAAGAGGGGGGCCATGACAGAAGAAGAGGAATTGTAACTAACTTGTAGTTAGAAGCAATGGAGAAGCGATATAGAAAAGGTGATAAATACTCACTGAATAGTAGGTAATAACCACTCTGACCGTAGATATGCACACTCGGTCGCATTGTAGTCGGGACTATGGCACGGCGTCCCAATGGGAACAGTCGCTATCAGACGGCCATCCACTGTTGTGTTTAAGGCGGACCATTCTGACAGAGACGGCCAGCAATCGTCGCCGGGGAAACATTTGCAGTCTGTATTGGTCTTGACTGAGGAAGTAAGAGCTAGAGCAAGAAGAATAAGAGTAAAAAGCATAATTCATTAACACCGACCAGAGGAATACTGGATAACGGGAGATTAAAACAAAAGGAAAAGCAAAAGAGGAGTAATGATGTGAGAGGGCAGATCCCCCTTAAATAATCTAAGATCCGGACGATCAGCACAGGAGATTTGTCATCCATTACTTGAATGGATGTAGTTGTCTACATATTACTGTAGGAAAGAACATTTATCATGATTATATATTGAACTCTACATTTATTTTCCATGGAGCGTATTACTACATAACTCGGGAGTTTTCTTATCGTCTCATATTGGCCTTTTTCTAGTGATTCTAAGCTATCTTTTTGAGCTCCTGGGATCATAGCAGGCCAGAGCGTTGGCAAGGAATATTCTACAAGGATATTCATTGGGGCCTCCTAGGTTGTTAGCATAAGCTTTTGTCTTATGTCTATATTCTCTCTAAATATCTTATTTAATAGTGATGCAGGAATAGCTAAGCATCCGCTACTTGGTTATTTCCATAAATCTTCCATCTCTATAGTTCAACTTCTCTCACTTACCCCACACTCTAGTCCACCGATCTGTGTTTAACCTTGTGGACCCTCATTATTCAGTTCTTTTGACTTAATTTCAACCTAGTCTAATAAAAACCAATCCTTTTGCAGAGATATATATTGACTACGTCTCTTTTATACTACTCAACAAAGTTAGTTTATTATCATCACAAGGAAAAGAGTTTAGCTATGTCATATCAGCAGAACCATCGGCGAGTATACAGCCATCGATACAGACTGTTGGTGCATCTTCAGGCACTGATGACAATTGCACATGTTGAGATCTGGACAATAGACTAGTGCTAATATTATTGCAGAAGGTTTGTCCTTACTAAGGGCTATATGCGCCCTATACTAGTATTATAAGGTATTTTCATCTATTAGGTGAACTGTTGCTCCCTAGCCATAGGCGAATTGTATTTATGCCATTATACGCCTGATACGGCTGGCGATGATCAGCTGCAGGCCCGCGATCAACCACTTATAGAAGAGGCAGTTTAACATGCCATGCCGGGTTCAGAGTAACCTTTGATCGACCGTCAAGAGCATTAGTAAAGGTGCCACCAGCGCTAGATATGAACCAGAGGAGCCATATGAACATCGAGCTTTCATTGATAGAATTATATAGGGCTATATTGAATTAAATGCAGATAAGAAATATACATTAATTGAGCTTCGCGTAATTACGTCCAAGAAAAAGCAAATGCAAATAGGGCAAAGAATGTCATGACAATCTCCGAGCCAGAGTCCTTGGGATAATTTGTAAAGCTGATGAACAGCCTCATTAGTCCGCTGAACAACATCATATAGTTGTCAAGCTTCGGTCGTCGGCAGACATAGTTGATGCTGGAAACCCCTAATGCTAGATGAGAGATGAATGTGATCTGAGGAAGAAATTCATTCGCTGCATTGAATCAATCATCAAGTTCTTATATGGCTCAAAGCATGGGGCGTAATCACCTTGTGGTACATAATCCACGAAAAAAAGCGCGGTGTCCACGACCTGGCTGGCTTTTACAAACCCTGGCGGGATCAGCAAAGTGTATGGATTGAGAAAAGAAATAGGACATACAAAGGCTATAAGTTCCGATTTTCGATTCCTGCCAATCTTCGTCCTCATCCTCACGGATGCCTTGAAAAAGACACAAGCCCACATTCACTCCAAAAAGTTTTTCCAAGGACTCTCGTTTAGAAGCACACAGCTCAGAGCCTCGTCCAATCTCCCAGAGCTCAGCCTTTTGACTGGCAAATTCCCAGGTGGCACTGTGCTTGAATTTCAGTGTTCGAGCTATATAGCTGCGGACCTCGGCCGGAGTGGCAGACTGGGCAGGTAGCCTGGGCGACATTTTAGGAAGACAATGATAACAGAGAAGAAAAGGATTGAAAACAGAAGAGAAGTACTAGTCTTGAACTAATATATAGTCTACAAACATATCAAACCTGAGCGCCAGCTATTAGCCATGCTAGACTTGCTAACTGTTCAGATAGAGATTTGTGGCCAGATAATGGATTGAAGCGCATTGGCCAAAGATTTAACTGGATGTGGAGCAGCTATTTCTATTTGAAGCTAGCTTCCAGGCATCCATTTACAAAGTACTCCATAGTGATAAGTAACATCATTTTCATTTTTCGGATATATCTGTCTGATTGGTGGAACTGACTATAAAATTAGACTTTCAATCAGTATTGTTCTAAGTCTTTCAAGTATGTACTTGGTATACTGTATATTATGCTTTTTAGTTCTTTTCGCTAGGTAGAACTTACAAATGACAGGAAGTTAGCCTATTCATAATTAGTTAGTCAGTATGGAGTACAGATACTAACCAGTTAGCGGTTAGGCAATCAATTAGGGCAGGACTTATGAATCCTTCAACCAGCATACAGAGTAAAAGACCTATCCCATTAATAAATTCTACCCACTTTTTTCAGTCGTTTATAGCGCTAAAAGCGTCGTATACTCTGTCCTTTTCAGGGAATTGGCCAGCAGCGTCCCTGGGATGGTACAGAGCAGCTGGAGTAGAAAACACCGGGACCAGGTGGCGGATGGGAATAGCAGCAGACCAAACAAACAGACGCGTCTAAGACGGAAAAGAAGCGATAGAAGAGGAGCACGCATGACAAATGGAATTAGTCAAGTTTTCCTAGGGCAATGACAGGTATTTGTGCTATGTTTTGTGCTATTTTTTATTTTTAATGTATCAATGTTAGAGTCCTAGATATTCTAAGAGGCTACTATACTAGGACTAAACATAGCAAGGAAAAAGGTCCTTCGGAATTAGTATCTAGACATACTGAATGTAGTCAATCTTCATAACGAAAGATGCTTCTTATTCTTGCCCAGTATAGGGAGCGAGTCAATTTTACCTATTCTATCTGCCTCCGAGGGCAATAGCCAGACCAGGACATTTTGTTGGTACTTATGACCGTATCAGAAGGGGTTGATATCTGATTTTGCATTTACAAGCCTTAAGCCGTTGTTTTTAGGAAAATTATCCTTAGTGGATAAGCATGGCTACTAGTTCTGTGCTATGATTGTGGTTCATCACCTTGTACAAAGATATTCATGAGGGAATTGCCCAGCTTATCCAAGGAAAATGCAGATAAAAGCCAGCATACCCAGTATCCGCTAGACCAACGGAACATCTGCCAAGGATAGTACAGGGCACCTCATCCCCAATCAATATACTCTATCCCGTCTTTTTCATGTTGTCCCACATGCGGGGTAAGGGTTTTTGCCTGGCACCGTATGACTTTTCAATATTCAGGAAAATAGTTAGATATTCTATTATGTAAAGTGATACTGGGATAAACTGAGCTAAATAAGGATGGGCCAATGATGGATAGAGTGAGACAATGTCTATTGAAGCTTTCTCTTGGCTGCCTGTTCCATCTTGGCAAATATATTAGGTATATTTTGGCCATATTTCATATACAAAATATTGAAAGACGGCTACATGAGATAAGCAAAACAGGCAGTATTATTTTTATTCATTAATTAAATACTAGATAATAAATGATAACATGTGAAGTATGATTATATATATAAAACTATCTACGGCAATGATTTAAATGAATCATGAGTTGGTCACCTGATCCTGCAAGGGCTTCGTCAAGTGAAATCCGATATTAGCCCGCTCCCAGTCACAACAGCTACATACTTGTATATAAGTAGGCATTTTTGGTAAAAAAAGCTTCAGGAAGCTACAACATATCTTACACCACATTTCCCCCGGTTTCTTGCACGTCTAAAGCTACCATTCTCTCTATATCATGAAGACTGGCATTCTCGCTCTCTCCCTCGGCCTCCTGGCCAGCCAAGTGCTTGCCTGTGCCACGCTTGGCGAAACCTGTAGCGAAGGCGCCAAAAAGAGATGTGTGTGTGATGAGGGCTACCTGGTATCTTCTATAGATTCCTCTTGACATATATCATAGTAACAGTTTAGGCCATCTGCGAGGCAGTTGTAGATGGGGAATATGTGGAGTATATTTGGATCAGGGGAAAGAACTGTCCAGTGCCGGCTGATGGGGGGGTGCAGTGCGAGAATGGTGCCTGCACCTCTTAACTACTCTAGTTATGTGGCTATAGCTCACTAATACTATAGTTAAAAGAGTAAATTTATTCATTGAATCAAATATTCTCATCTTCTATTCACTGGACTGATGATAATGCCAACTAGCTTGGCTGTGGCAGTTTCAAAAGACTCGACGGAGCCGACCAAAATTGAATCCAGCATATCAGGAGAGAGTGACTAATTATAATGGTATAGTAGTCACTTCCTGATATCCTTCACTACTTTCTAGCCCCTATCGCCCTCTTCATACTAAGTTTAATTGAGCTATATAGCTGTATTTAAACTAGCACATTTTCTGTTGTGTCTGCTATAGTTTACTAGAAGTATGACCACCTGCCTATACCAGGTTAAATAGCAATACAAATCCATGCATGTACGTAAATTGGACTCACTGATCAGCAGGAAGATATAGAGGGCGAATATATAATCATGGGATAATAGAATATAATATGATTAGGACCAGTATCTAATTCATTATTGTTCCATGGTTGAGTCATGACATCTACATGATCTAATATATACTACCCTCCTATTACTATATGTTGAATTGTTAAAAATGCATTCCCAGAATTACAGAAGTTAAGATGGTTGAATTCGAGAAGCGATTTCCCCCTTGCTCCTATTTCCCTAATGGCACACTCTTTAAGAGGCGCGAGGGCCAGGCAGTACAAATCCAGGCCTACACAGTCCACCTCACAACAGTCCTAAAGGAGTACTGCAGCGAAGCCACAGATAATTATAACGTTGTCTTTGAGGGCTGCATCACTGCCGGGCCGGATCGGACTGGGCAGGCTGTTATTGTCAAGTTTAGCTATGAGTACGTCCGTATACAACCATCTGGTATCAAACAGCTACTCACTATATTGAAGACTCATCCATCAACGCTGGACAAGTGTTGGTCAGGAATGGCTGCGATCCAATGCCAAGGAGCGGTTTCGTAATGAGTGTCAAGCAATGATCCAGTGCGCAGACTCGGGCACTTTGCCCCGGTATATTGCACATGAGGAGCAGATACAGGGTGGGCCTCAGGATCTAAACCCCGGTGCATCGGTATTTATTATCCTGCGTTTAAAGATGCAGGGTGAGCAGCTCTTGCCAGAATATCGGCGGTTTAAACCATTGAAACTGTCACGGAAGGAGATGCAGTCTATCAGAAAGCAAGTTCTTGAGGCACATGAGTAGGCTTTCTTGATTGTGTTACTTTTCTATTTCAGTCCTGATTATACAGGTCCTGGCGTCAGCTTGGTTGGTATGGATGCCCGGATATAAGTGATATCTTCTATCACCAAGAGAGCGGAAAAGTGTAAGCATCCCTTATTTACTGGGTTATTCTTTGGGTTGTGAATGACTAACAGTGCTACTTGATTAATAGTTTTTTCCTTGGGCTGAGCTCAATGTCCTGGGACCAAAGGATCATAGACAAACCTCCGATTGACTCGGATTCATACGAATTGACACTCAGCAACCTACCAGAGGAATGGGACGAGAATGAGTGGGACGAGGAGGAGGATGAAGAGGTGACGAATCAGAGAGAGAGGAATGCACAAATGGCAGTTGATATGGACCGCAGTCAGGTGGCTGGGGAAAAGTGAATGGCTCAATAGGCCTCGAAGATTGCGTAGCTCTTTTATCCACAGCAAGTATCTCTCATCACCAAGGTCTAATAAGAATCCCTATCTTTGCTCATATGATTACCTATCCTTCTATCTAAATTACCTCAATTGAGAGACTTCAAAATGGCCACCTTAGTTTCTAACCAGGAGCGTGAAGCTATCTGGTCAAAGCTGCCTACTCTTCGAGTAGGTGGGAAATGTTTGACCAAAGCGTCAAGACAGGACAAGTGCAAGCTTCACAAGTCACAAGTCACAGAGTGGCCAAACTTTGCCCAGGCAGTGAGACAGTATACCAGTCGTCCCAATGTACTAGGCCAGGGCCCTCCTACCAGCCACAGCCAAGCTTCAATCTAGCCAGAGATTTATCCTATTGCTAACGAGGCAGGCTTGACTGGAAGGTGGGTGAACAATGTCGCCGTCGTGGTCAATACCATCACAGGCCAGTTGGGGCTCCCGGAATTTTCTGATTACCAGCTTGGGAAAGATGAGCCTAAGGACTGCAGCATTGGGGCGTACCCCGACATCATCCTTCTTGAAAGGGGGTCGAAGACTGTGATGGTTGGGGAATTCAAAACCCCGTGGACAACTAGACTTTGCAATCCCAACGCGGAAGATTTTGAGAAACTATGGGGTATGTCAATAACACTTGCAAGATCTCTCTCAGTTCACTCCTAATGAGACAACAGGACAAATCACATCTTACATGGATAGGTGCCATTGCCGCTATGGGATCCTATCTACGTACAATGAGACCATATGTATCCGCAGGAAGGATGATTACCTCTTTGAGGCCTCACGAGTCATCAACCATAGCCATTACTCCCTTCCTACAAGAACTGGCCATAGCACTATCATTAGCACCCGTGAGGCAATGCTGTATATGGCGTATGTTTCTGGGAATGGGGAGCGCGACTCCAACTATCCTGCCAGAGTTGGCAATCTTTATGTATGCATGCTACTATAATATAACTATTTTGTCTGCACTTCAGCTGACAGCAATTGGGTTAGCGCCCCTGATCAACGCCACGCAGGTTTTGCCGGAACTAGGAGGGCAATAAAAGGCATCTAGATATCAGGTATCTTCATCAATAATAGGTTAATATTCATAATTTGCAGTCTTATTTCTAGCTCATAAGCTATATTACTATCCAATGTTAAATTAATGGCTATGTAAACTATATCACTGGCTGATATATGAAGACAGGAGAGACCTTTTTGAGAGAAAGTTATTATTCACTTAGAAGCAGAGTTTCAAGTACTCAATATTATATAAATGAATCTTATCCTTAGAGTGGTAGTAATAACATGATGTAAAATATCCTCTCTCCCCCATACCAGGGCTATAAGGATGCTAATATGCCTCATGGTCTGAGCTGCTCCGGGGGGATTATGATGGGGCATAAAAGCCATTCTTCCTGTCACAAACATGGAATGGGGTTAGATAGCCAGGATCTCTTCTCTCTTTCCGTAGTACCCATTAGTGATCAACGTGTATATTTCTCGTTCATTGGTGGAAGGAAAGGCCCTCCTCACGCGCCCTCTCCCGATTTCCAAGATCATACCGGGCAGCTGAAAATCCAAGCTTGGCGCAGTGATTTGAGGCAAAGGCGGGCTTCCTACATCAGTGGGGAGTTCAATGGTCGAATAGCGATCATTCCTCGGGTTTACGTTGCAGACAGATAGCATCAAGGTCTGTGGAGCCCACTGCAATCCCGGTACCGGTCTTCAAATCGTCGGCGCGAGAGAGAAGAATTCTGGTTGCGATGGTTGTCACCACCTTCCACAAAATTATTTATTTGGCTAGGTATAGGCGTGCTCTTTGAGATCTGATCATTCTGTAAGAAGCAGGGTGATCCATACTACGTATATATCTGACTAGAAATCTGTCCCTATTGTCAAACAATATCTCTGGTTTCAGTAAAGGAGTTGAGAATAAATGGCTCACTTGACAAATAGTTAAAAGGAGATGCACTACATACATCATAATAACTTACATCAAGCTAGGGTTCAACATCCAAGCCGATGGCCACGCGGCCCTTCTCCACCGCGTCTCATGTCCCACCGAACCCTCAGGGCCCAAGAAAGTCCAATCAAGAGATGCTCGATATAAACTACTGGCTGCCACGTTTTCGGATCGTATCCAGACAGAGAGAACCAATACGTGAGACCAAGGTACAATATGAGGGCATAGACCGTGTTTGACACTGTCTGCTGGAGACCATTAGAGGTCCTTTCTACTATAACACAGGTACTTTCTTTTAACAGGACCGGATCTTATCAAGCCTATACATACTCACCAATTATTGTCTCCGAATGGGGCGCCCACCAACACTCGTCGGTTGACTGTCCCCGACCCCAATGCCAAGACATGCCGATCTTTATGAGAGTGACTCCTGAATGAAGCTGTGGTTGGTAGTCATTTTTTCTTACTGATAGCTACCTGTATTGTATTAATCTACTACGCGCGAGCCAGTAAGGTATGGCTGGGAACAGCATATTGAGATAAAACCCAGTCCACACATGGTGAGCTGTCGGGTATAATCAGGTCTTCTCCTCGCTCGATGCCCCCTTTCTAGAACAACGGGATTTTTCCTCTTTTGTCTTCCCCATCGTGTTTCATATCTGGTATTCGGTTCGCTTCCGACGGTTAAAATCCCTATTCCGGTATATTCCCGATTAACGCCGTTGCCAAGAGGGACTTAAAGACCCTCTCCAGTACCCACAACCCCACTGGCATTCTTTAGCACGATATATCCTGTTTCCCTGATCGATGTGGAGGTTGAAATAAGCAGTGGGCACCTACATCGTATGAGGTGGCAATGAACTTGAGTTCGGTGGGCTGTTTCAGTACGGACCACTTGGAATATTTAGTGCTTTTCCAAACCCGATTTATATTAAGGGGTCTGTACAGACACATATCATTGTTAGAATCAAATCCCGTAGTTTTCAATTGTATCTAGAAAGGATTTGCAAGGGCCATGAAGTATAAATGTAAGAAGTGAGACATATCAGAAACCATCAGTTTGACTATTGGTGGTCACATTATTATTAAAATAAAGTTCAGTTGTTGACAAGATGAAATTGGCCAATATCTTTTATTTAGCCACTTTTGGCCTTGTTTCCATCGCTGATGCTCGCGAACATCACTCCCATTCCAAATACCACTCTCACTCCAAATACAACATATCCAACTACAATACGTCCAATTACCAGAACGACTCCCAATCCCAGCAGACCATCGTTCATCCTGGTCTGCTGCATAGTGATAGAGACTTTGCTCGAATCCAAGGTTATATCGCTGCCAAAACCCAGCCTCAATATCAAGCTTGGCTCAACCTGGCTGCTGCTGCCAATCCAGATTATGTTCCAAGCCCGCAAGTATATGTGTGCAGAGGAGATTCCGATTGTACCCAGAATTATCCCTCCCTATATAGGGACATCGCTGCGGCCTATGCAAATGCCCTTACCTGGAGAATCAATGGAACAACCGCCAATGCCGACGCTGCGGCCAGGATTCTGGATGCATGGAGCTCAACCCTCACGGAGGGCATTCTTGGGAGCGCGGATCGATTCCTGGCAGCCGGACTCTACGGGTATCAGCTTGCTAATGTTGCCGAAATCTTGCGGGAATATCCTGCCTGGACTGGACTTGATGCCGTGATAGAAATCCTAGTCAAGTACTTTTATGCTGAAAACATCGACTTTCTGGTCAACCATAACGGTGCATCAATAGACAACTACTGGGCAAACGTGAGTGCATCTATCTAGGGTTCGCAATTTCTTTCTTCATAACAACATCTTTGCTAAATCATGTTCGTTCCGACGAGTCAAGTGGGATCTTTGCACCCTTTGTTCGATTCATAGTATTGGTGTCCTCTCTGATAATCAAACGATGATCGATGAGGCGATTGATTATTTCAAGAACGGTACGGGTATGGGCGCTCTCCTCAACGCCATCTGGTATATTTCTACGGAAGAAGGCTCCGACAAACCTCTTGGTCAAGGCCAGGAAGCTGGTCGCGACCAGGGACATTCAACTCTGGATTTTGCTCTGCTCGGCGTGCTCGCCCAACAAGGCTATAACCAAGGAGTTGACCTATTCTCTCTCTACTCCAATAGGATCCTTGCAGGGTATATTTTATCCCCTATTCTTGCCTAAACCCACTTGGCGCTGACTGACGGAACTTGAATTTAGCTCGGAATATGCTTTCAAGTACAATGTTTACGAAGACGTTCCCTTCGAAACCTATACAAATATCCATGGCACTGCCACAGGTATCAGCCCGGCAAGTCGCGGAGACATTCGTCCGATAGCAGAGCTGCTCTACGCACACTATAACGGCGTCATGGGTTTGAATGCTTCTTGGACCGGCCTGTATCGCGATTTGGTCGTCAATGCCAGTGGAGGCGCTGAAGGAGGTGGTGGCGACTACGGGTCGACCAGCGGTGGCTACGACCAGCTGGGCTGGGGGACGATCCTGTATCGTCGGGACTAGAATAATGAGGCAGAAATTGGTGCTTTCATCATTCGTTCCCCCAGCTATAGCCTTAACTCAACGCAAGACTGGCGTGGGTGCATTTTTCTTATATTTCCTCGCCCCCGGGATATTCAACCATCCGACAAGTACACTCGCTTATTGAGACCCTTAATCACTCCCTGCATTTCCAAAGCTGCCCATATAATTATGGGTTATAAAGCTATTCTCATTAATAAAGACTAATATAATATCAAAGACTGTTTTAGTGTGTCAAATAGTTTTATCATCTTTGGTCTAGTGTTCTAGTAGACTAATTATGTGCTCTTAAATATATTCCTAGGCTATCTTTTTTCTGCAGCTATCATTATCATAGAAGGTTTTTCTGTCTCTATACTGTACTGCAAAAGGGATAGGTCCCTCAAGAATTACAGCTCAAGCAGTAGTCTGTGTTAAAGCCTACTATAAACCAAAGGTGAGCAATTAGGGCACATTTCACCCCATATCCTCTATTAGACTAAATATAGCTAGTAATAATATATTATATACCTATACTTAGATATATCAATATCAAGTACTTCTCTCTATAGTCAGGATCTAGATTAATTGAGTCTATCTCTTTATTAAGTGAGACTTTCACCCTCAATTCTAGACTAGCCACCTGACCTAGACAGCATGGCCTATACTATGTGTGAGAGAAGTCTTGATGTAGGCCCTAAGAGGGAGATATTTCATCCGCGAAGACTGGTCAGATTTCTGGCTCTCCGCCTGGAATGAGGCTGGCAACGGGATCAATCGACGAGGCTGACAGCCTCGCGTATTCCTTGACTCTCCGCAGCAGAGTTGAAGGCCGGCAGAGGCTGTTCGGAATGGCATTGGTCATATATATGATGGGCTAATTGATTGTTTCAAAGAAGTTGATCATGTTTTTTCAACACGCATTTTTCTCATAAAATGGCCAAAGGAGTCCATTTCTTTACTGATCATATAAACCTCATATATCTATCCTCTATCTATTTCCTTATCTCCTTTGATCTATCACATACGACCACAGGGTGTGGAAAACAGGGCTTCCCGTCCGCTCAGCCGTACTTAAGCCACACGCCGGTAGGTTAGTAGTTGGGTGGGTGACCACCAGCGAATCCCTACTGTTGTATGTTTTTATTTTTATACTTGCCCGTAGATTGAGTGTGTATTTAGTTTCATAATTATGGCACTTTCTTCCCACATGGACTTGACCTCACTAGAAGAGTCAACACCGTCATTTAGCATGGTTGGCTTTGGTACTGGAAATAAGCTTTTATACTATGCTTATGCCTGAGAGCTTGGACTGCTTGACGGTGCTGACTGCGGTGCACTGCATTATCTGGAAGAGGTCTAGGGTTTAGGGTTGGGTTTGATATGTCTCAACCGTCACAGGTCTTGGGTGTACTGGGAAGCTCCGTTTACCAAGTCGGGGAATAAGGAGGATATCTGATCCAAGGTCTATTGAATGTCAATGCTGGACTAAAGGCCGTCGATATAGATGACTGTTGGAGGATAAATACCCCAATTCTTAGTAAGGACTGTCATTGGCACTTTTTATGGCTGAGTGGTTGAGAAAGTCCCCGGGGCTTCTGATAGTAACTTATTGATGTATTCACTCTATCCTCCATGAGCTCCCAGCAAACATGGATTGGGGACCGTCAGCTCCATGAACGCCTGCCCAAACTCATCGAGATCCACCAGCTCCAGCTGTGTCTGGTGCATCAAGTCGACATTGTCGCCACAGGCCCTCATCCACTCGCCCGACGAGGCAGCGTCCCAGACGCCGCGCCGCGCCGTGAAGGCCAGCTGCCCCGGACACTCCGCGGAGCCGCGCTGCATGGTCCAAAACATGGCGCAGATCGACTGCGCGACAAGCCAGGTGCGGCGCACGCTCTCGGCGACGATCCACGCGTGCCAGCGCTCCGTCGCCCCGACGTCTCCGCACCGGCCGTCGGGAAGCTTCATCTCCCGCGCACTGGCCAGCAGGGCGTGCGCCCATGCTTTCAGCGCCGGCAGCTGCTGCTCGGCTTGGTACCGCTGGCGGATGTCGGCGTCGAAGAGCCGGATGGCAGCGTAGGCAAGCAGAGCCTGCACGCGCGCCAGCTGCGTCCGGCAGTCCTGCGCGGGCGGGGGCGGCTGGCGCACCAGGTCGGCCGCCCGGGACTCCAGGATGCGGTACATCAGCGGCTCTGACGCCGGGGTGCGGGCCAGATATGCGGCCACACCCGTAATGGCGTCCGCAATGCAGGTGGGGAGCTCCGCCGCATACAGCTGCGGGTGGCAGAAGGCATTGCCGGCGCAGTGCACCCAGTCCGCCAGCCAGCCCCGCACGGTGCGGATGTACCGCCACGCCGCGTTGGGGCGGACGGGCGCCAGGTGCGACCGCGGCAGGGCGTGGACGGTCCATGTTTCAGGCAGGAGGAACCACGCCGCGGGCAGGCTTACCAGGGGTAGGCTTATTGTTGGGGACAGGACGGGGGACCAGGCGTCGTCGAGCAGGGCGTCCCATGTGTTCGGCGTGGCGAGCGGGCACGTTACAACGCTCGAGGCAGAAACCCCCGCGTACGTGCAGTCCAGGCCGCGGACCCGGCACCGCATGCAGCAGGGGACCTCTCTGCTGCATCTCCGTTTGGCCTTGGTGCAGGCTGCGCAGGCTTTCAGCGGCACCTGCTGCATCGCGGCGGTGACGTTGGGGATTTATAGAATAATAATAGAGCTTAAAGATTAAATTAAAGATATATTATATAAACAATAAAAAGGCCTTGATAAAAGATATTAATTATTTTATTATTGATATAATATTAAAATAAATAATTTTTAAAATAGTAAAAACAGCTGTGCTGAACGCCCTAGAGAAGTCTGTCTTGCAGTTTGTCTGACAGAAAAGGCTGCGGAGCCTAAACTGGAACGGTTAGCGTGCACTGCGGGAGCTAGCCGCAGACGGCTAGCTCCCACAAGCGAACTATTCCAAATACGGACTCGCGAAGTATATAAATCTAGCGCTCTGGACAGTAGATATGGCTATGACAAGAACTATTCAGCCAGTCAGACAAGACCACCGGGACAATGAACACAAAGCAGAACATCGAGACCAACTTCACCAGCCGGGTGCATCGTACGGCGTACCCGACGATCGCGCTGTCGCGCCCCGCCCTCCGCCAGGACGGCAAGACCGTGCTGGTCACCGGGGGCGCGACGGGGATCGGGTTCAGCATCGCCAAGAGCTTTGTGCAGGCCGGGGCAGCCAAGGTGATCCTTGTCGGGCGGCGCGCTGCCGTCCTCGAGACGGCCGTGGCGGCCCTAAAGCCCGAAGCTGCCGGCTGCGAGGTCCTCGCGATGCCCTGCGACCAGGGAGACCACGCCGCCGTACGGGCGCTGTGGGCGGCGCTCCGCCGGGACGAATGCACTATCGACACGCTGGTGCTTAACGCTGTGGACTTCACTGATGGGAAGCCCCTGCTGGAGCTGGGCGCTGAGTCTCTATGGCACTCGTATGAGGTCAACGTGCGCGGGCTGCTCGACATGGTCGAGGGGCTGCATCAGCAGCCTCATCGTGGAATGGTAATCCTCCTAGTCATGCCACAGATTTTAGATTATACTCTAAGTTTATTTCTAGAATGTCATCCATGTCTCCTCGCAGGCCCTAAACATGCTATACAAGTCGCAGCTGGCCCCTTCAGCTCTGTACCCTACATACGGATTGACCAAGAATGCAGGCACGATGCTGCTTCAGCAGATCGCCAAGGACGTCTCCCCGGACGTGATACAGATCATTAGCTTCCACCCAGGGCTTATCCATAATGATCAGTGGGCGAAGATGGGGGTCAAGAAGACCGACCTCCCGTTTGACGATGGTAAACTCCCTATATCGATCTTCCCGTTCTCCACTGACAGACAGACTCTCTGCCCGGCTCCTTCGCCGTCTGGGCAACGACCGAAGAGGCGCGCTTCCTGCACGGCCGCTTCGTCTGGGCTTCCTGGGATATCGACGAGTACTCGCAAGGGGAGACCCGGCGCCTGCTGCAGACGGACGACTTCCTGCGCGTGGGGGTGGTTGGCTTGCGAGGAGCGTTTAAAGCTGACTGGAGTGCCAAGTGATATTATATAAACATACTCCGGGTTATCTCTGTTTGAATGTCAAGGCGAGTGGGATTGTGAGATAATAATAGCGACCAAGTATATTGGTGAATTCAAGTGGTATTCAGTACTGCTTGTCAGATATATAGCGGTTATAGATGTCTGCGACCTCGAATAGGGTCCTGCTAACCCGAGTGAAATCTTGTAATGTCAGATAGTAAATATTAGGTCTTATCTGTCTCTATATCTATCTATAGTCTATACTCTATAATACCGCTAGCCAGCCCACTTCAGCTAGAACCCTTATTCGAATCCTCTGGCGAATTCTCATTTGAACGCTCTGGCAAGCCTCCTTCGCCTCCTGAGCTCTCCCGCTGTTTCGTGTGCACCCAGTGCCGAAACAACGGGACAAGCATATTCCCTATGGCAATCTGCAGTCCTTGGAATATGACGATCGGCACCTGGATGCGCGCCTGCTGCGTGGCGCTGAGCTCGCGGAAGATCAGGTTGGCCAAGGGGATCCCCATGGCGGGCGACTTGGCCGGCACGCAGTATGCGACGGAAACCGTATCCTCGCGGGACAGCCAGAGAGAGGAGAGAGCAACAGATATGGTGAGCCACAGGAGGAAATTGGCAATCGAGATGAACACGACGAAGACCATGTTGTCCGGCCGGATGCCCGAGAAGGCCCCGGACCCAAACGCCTGGTCGTAGGCTTCCCAGACCACGACAATCAGACAGAGCGAGCCGACCTTGTTGACGTGCCACGCCTGGAATAGCGGCCGGATCCGGGGGCAAAAGTACTGCACGACTTGGCCGACTGCCTAGACTTCATCAACATGATAATAGCGATCACAATGGCGAGAGATCAACACACCAGAGGAAGGAAAACAGACAGGCCGATCTGCTTGAAGATGCGCCGGTAGATGTCGGTATAGTCGTCCAGGTGGGCCGCCTGGAGGAAATCGGTATACCAGCCCCCGCCGGCGACGTACATTTGGATGAGCAGCGGCGTGATAAAGGGGCCGAGGAGGTTGCCAACGGTGGACTCCACGACAGTCAACACCTCGTTGCCCGCTGCGCTGCGCGTCATGACCACGTTGGAGGAGATGGTGGTCGGCACACAGCCAGTAACAAGGAGACCGATAAGCAGGGCGTCGTCCATGAAGTGCCGGTCCATCGCGCACAGCAACACAATCGCAAAGGTCAGCGCCGACGTCAGCAGGAAGGACAGCCCCTGCACATAGAGATGCACCTGCCACCGGCTGTAGTTCTGCACCAGGGCGCTGGTGGGCAGTGTACACCCGGTCACAAAGAAGATGAGGGTGATGCACAGGTATGAGACCACCGTTTCGGTGCGCTGTTCTTGACTGACAGGGACCTGGACCTGGGAGGCAATCAAGATCACGATCATGACCCCGACCAGAAACCACTGGTCAAGGAGATACTTCTTAACTGTAGCAGTCTTCATGGTGCCATCATCAGGTGGAATGGTGATTGTTGAAACTTGAAAGTGTCCTCGGAGGATGGCCGAGCGAAGGATTCCACTAGCTGACTAAGATTAGTTTACATGTAGCAACTTTGCGAAGGATATAAAATATTACAAGAACATAATAGAAAAATCGAGTGTGCTGTAGTATCTAAGCAGTGTAGAGCGTTCTGAGGTCAATACAATCTTACCATCAGGTAGAAAGCCGCTGCGTATAAGCAGCCAGTCGTATAGGTTTCTTATTATTCAGTTGCTGGATTAGTCTCACATAACATGCTATATAGATTATATCTTTTAATAAATCCTGTACATATTCAGGGCCAATAGTATCATATATCTATATGATCTACACACTACCCAGCATATCTAATATTAGTTTGGCCAGATATATCAAGTAAATAAAAAATTAGAGTATAAAGCTAACTATATTAGGCTTAGATAATTAGGTAATAGTAGAAATATATAAATCATCCTAATTAACTAGCAGCCTTAAGGTCATCCTTTTCTATGATATATTTTTAGTCCTAGATTATATAGGTTATATATTATTAAAATAGATATATAGATATCTATTACTAGATATAAAGTTACTCTTTATGACATTTACTTAACTATTTATTAACTATTTCTTATTAATTTATTTATTATTCTTATTATTTATGTATTATTAGGGCCTAACTGTATTGTATACTTATATTTTATAGATAATATTTATCCCTAAAAGTTATCTAGTTAGCTAGTCGAATATAATCCTATTATTAGCTCTATATAGGGAGAATCTTTGCATTATATAGCTAAAGTATATTGAGTATTCTCTGATAGAGGATAATACTAGAGACCCGAGAGTTTTAAAGTAGAGGAAAAATAAGAAGTTATTATTATTATAAAATTCAAGGATAAAAGTTATCTTATAATAATCTCTATAATTAAATCTATCTTTACTAAAAGATAAGATAAAATAACTAAATATATTAAGCTTAATTTAAATTAGATAAGATTATAACCCTAGTGAGATATTCTCAGTCAAGCACCTAACCACTCGACTAAAAAGGCATCAATATACTGCTAGAAAGCAGTATATTCAGTTAGGTGATATATATAGCGCCACCAATATCACACTAGCCTTCAAAAATTATCATATCTTAATATTAAGCCTATAAACTCTTTTAGTTCTAATATTAAATAGATTAATTAAATCTAAGTTAGTATAAGGTTTACTACTAAGGAATAATCATATAAGAGAAAACTATTCTTCTCTAAGTTCCTATAAAGCTAGAAGAACGTAGTGATAATCTTACTATTAAGATAAGATATACTACTTATAAATACTAGTATATTGCCTCTTTCATGCCAGACTCATTGCTATACTCGCCTATCCTTATAGTAGAGTACTTAATAGGTGCCTAATAGGTACTTAATGTCTACTACTAGCCGCGGGGTATGCTTAGTTAGATCGGTTGTAGGGGCGGCGTTGGTACCGGCCTTACACCCACTACCTGTCTGCCCCATGCATTCAGAAAACTAGTCATATCAATTCCTCCGTTCCTGAGCGCCGCTGTGAGCAGCCTGCATAAATTACCTTACTTAGCTTGGAGGGACTTGCATCATCCATCACCAGTTTCATCATCACTGCAATTATAACATTTTTAGCACCATGATTGGTATGTATTAGCTTGGAGCTTCACTAGCACCGCGCATCCAGCTCAGGTCGAAACCGGAATTAGCTGAGGTACAGACCAATTTGCCTTTATTCATGAAGAGAAAAGGACTGGCTCACTGCGTACAGGTAAAGAACAAAGAAGACGACTGGACCGGGATTAAGGATGCTGGCCCTTATGCACCAAGTAAGGAGACTATTAAATCTAGAGATTTACTCTCTAGTGATATCAGGGTGATAGTATACTCTATTTATTCTATTCTTTTTACCTATCTTTCGTATCCAGCCACGGGTAGTTATAGAAAGGGGTTCCACATACTCGGCTGTGCTCCAGCCGCTTTTTCTATACACAAGCTAGTAGGATGCACAGCCTGGGGCCGAAATGAAAAGACTGTACGGAGTATATTTATAGAGCCAGTTATCCCATTTGTCGGCTTCTTTCATATTGTTATTAGAAGGGACATGCTGTCACAGGATTATATTATATGACCATACTACACATAGGGCCATTTTCAATGTCTTGACATTTTCAGTGGCTCAGCGGTCTAGTGGGCCCTGAATTTTGCTTACGGAGTACTAAAGTTTCCCCTGGCTGCCAGCGGTCCTGTCAGCTTTTGTGATGACGAAAGGGCTGAGAAAAATGGGGCTTTAGCTCAACAAGGCACAGGTACAATGGTGGGGGAAAATAAGACTCCGACAACCGGACTACTTTAAATGGACTAGTGTGTTGTTTTTGCCCCCAGCTACCACACAGCGTCCCACTTTACTATCAGAGACAAAGGACTGAATTGATGGAAAGAGAAAGCGTTTCTATGAGGAACCATAAGCCTTAGAAGGGAATCTATGTTGACTAGTAGTTATCTAAATATATAAGAGACTAGTACAGAAATATATAAAGACATCATAATGTGGGGGTGAACAGGTATATATAAATTAGCATAATCTCTAAGAGCATTTTGAAATCTTCCAAGAGTGTTTGAATAGCTGCCTTCTCACCTATTTATATTCACCTCTTCAAGTATATGCCACCATGATTCCGAATATCCCAGAAGAGTACCGCGACAAGCTAGAGTTCATTGAACCAACAGATCGCCGGACAGATGAACAAGTGTTGGCAAGCCTCTCCGAACACAAGCCTGTCACATCAGAAAAAAATGTCTGGGCTTATTGGCATTCTGGATTGACCAACATGCCCAAGTGGAATCAGAGAAATGTCATTGACTGGGTTCGTATTCTTGGTCCAGAATGGACTGTGCGGGTGTTGGACAGCGTCGCGGGATCAGTCAACAATGTGCTTCGATTCGCGCCAGAGACTCTCATGCCTCGGGCCTTCGTGGATCGCACTATGGAGGGGCCGTACGTGGGCCAGCATGGCGCTGATCTAACACGCACCGCTTGTCTGTATGAGCATGGAGGCGTGTGGATGGACGTTGGAAGTTTTCTCGTTCGCCATCTTGATCGTGTTTGTTGGAATGAGCTGGAAGACCTAACATCGCCATATAAAGTGGCCATTTTTATGCTCTGGGGACTTGCCCCCGGAAACTTCTTTGTGGCAGCTCGAAAGAAGGATCCTCTGATTTACCAGTGGTAGGCTACATTTAGAGTAAATGGCACTTGGAAAGAAGCTCACAGCAATGACAGGCACCGCCTGTTTTCACATCTTTGGGGAGACAAGAAAGATATCCAGGATGTTCTGAATGACCCCCTCATCGCGCCAGTGATACCCCAAACATTCGAAAATATGAGTGAAAACTTTGACTACGACTGGGTCGATTTTAACATTGCCGCGGGTTATGCTGCACAGATCATCTGCCTGACACGACTTCTCTGCCTGGAGGAGAGCGATGATGGATTCTCGGGGGTTGAATATTGGCGAAAGAACGTGTTGGCCCTGGACGCAGGGCAGGAGACTGCGCGTACAGAGTGGAATAGCACCTTTGTGGGATTCGGCCAGCGGGCGCTCGACATCCTGGCGCTCCCATGCTCAGGACCTGACGCGGAACCGACTTCAGACAAGTACAAGGATGCGGAGAAGGTAGTGTGGGATATGCTTGCCAATTCAACGATCTGGAAAGTCACACACGCACAGGGGTTGACCCATACCCCGCAGCTGGGAACTCTCCTGGACATGCCTGAGAATGAAGGTAAAGACGCGGCGCCTAACACCTTTGGTGAGCTCTTCCGATATGGCACAAGAAGTTTCCGCCAAAAGAGAGAAAGCGTGCTCAGAATGCCGAAGCGAGAGCCTACTATGACGTGGAAGAAGGGCGTTTTGGAGCCATAATGGAGCTGACACTACAGTAGATAGAACATTGATAGAAGGGACTGATGAATGATGTATTTGAAAACTACAAACTCGAAGTTTTTGTAGGCCAGTAATAAAAATACCCATATGGGCGAGAAACAGCCGCGAGACGATGTAACAGACTCGCCGCCATGGGCTTTGGCCGTATACTACATAGCTGGCGCGCTAGACAGCATCTATAAGATTAGCAATGACGCCCAGGGCCATGATTATTCGTTGCCTTGTAATAAGTCCTAATGCAGGCGTATGCTGAGTCTCTAGCCTAGGTATGGGCAGTTAGGTAGTGTCCTTCTTGAAAATCGAGTTGCTCATGTCCCGCTGCTCGGCAGTATTATATTTCTAATCTATAATTATGTATCGCATTCCCGTCTGCAGTGACCTCACACTGCTTACAATATAAGCCACCTAACTTCATATACTAATATTAAGTAGTATATTGAATGCTTTTTAGTTGAGTGGTTAGGTGCTAGGCTAGGGAATTCTCATCATACCAAATTTTAAAGCAATGTATTTAGCATCAAGCATTCTGAGAAGGGGAGATCTTTTCATTAAGACTATCTTTTATAGACTTTGATAAACTGCGGCGGTGCGTACCGGTATGAGCGGGAGCTTATCTCGATGCACGGGCGGCAGGGCCCGAGACCCCGCCAAGGAACGACCGCAAGCTTCACTGACAGCGATTATCCAAGCCACCAACAACGAACTTTGGGAGATCGAGCCGAACGAGAGTGGCTCATTGAAAGAAAATTGAGGAAAGCATGAAAATCAGAAAGCACCGGGATCACAAGCAGATGTCGTCCCACCAGTAACATCGTCAGACAATGAATAGCTGTAGCAGCGTAGGATCGCAGTGGCATCTCCCCGCCGAATCCCCAATGGCCCGAGAGGAGCCAGCAGTGAGTCCGAATTTGCACGCAAAGGACCTGAATGAATTCAAAAGACACAGATAGCAACAACGGAATATTTTACGTAAAGAGTATTTCCACCGCTCCCTTCGAAACCCTCATTTGACGGATCCGCAACAGATCCATCTAGACGCGGTGGAGCACGGGCATGTTTTTCTTTGCCGTAATACGGCAATGTGGTTTTTGCGCACTTGCAGCGAATGTTGATCTTGCGGAGCAGGTGGTAACAAGGCGGAGCTATTGCACGGCGACATCGCCGGCCTACAATCAAGTTTTGGGGAGGCTCATAAATAAGCTCACACGCCTCGAGGACGTTTTCCATGGACACCATAGCTATTGGAACGTAGTGAAGGCGGGAGAGCAAGAGGCAGTTCGGCATGGAAATCTGACAGTAGACATAGATCGAGCGGTGTCACTATGTGATGCCAGGAAGGGAACCAGTGCGGGTCTGAAGAAGAACGGACCAACCCGCGTGGGGGAGGGTCAGAGAAACGAGGCCACAACATGCGAGGGGGAATTTACGGCAATACTCTAAAACGGACGTAAATACTGTTGCGCCGAGAATCCACTTTCTTTCTTTGCGGGTAGTGGATCGGCCTACCCTAATGCCGCTGCGGTGCAAATGAATCAGGGTTGGTGTTGAACGTGCTGAAGCTGGCGGTGGACATGGAAACTACCCTAAATTTGTGTTTCCATTCGTTTTTGACTCAAATTAACAGCCCCCAGAATATAAATTGATCTACAACAATTGCTCGGGGGAGATTCGTATTTGATATACTCAAGATCTGTGATTCATTCCACATGGGGGTAGGAATGGAAAGATACCCTAATACGATCGCGCATGGAATTTTCGGATAAGAAAATCAAATAAGCGGTGAGCAGAGCTGATATGTTACATGGTATCATGTAGGGTGCTCTAATGAGGATATGTAACATTCAAGAAGGAGCAATAAAATATATGCATAAGTACTTAACAATTTCCTGGCTGACTATATGAAGTGACTACTTTATGACGTCTGACAAAAATGCTCTCAAAGTAATTGGTGCCTAAATTTGATAAGTCATATTTTTAATAATATACATATCAGGTGGCGTTAATTGTGGAACCTGGAAAGTGTGTGTCACACAGGCGTCGTCACTTGAAGCATGGATGTTTGATGATATCGAGCTGTAAGCGACAGCAAATGTGGTACTCAATATCAAGACCCGCGAAGAAAATGCCTCATAGTTTAGAATATATGGAATCTATGGATAGGTAAATAAAAGGAAGGTAATGTCCTGGGTCTACATTGACAACGATTTCAGCATATCCTATCAAGCATCCCCTTTATATCTTTATCTAGAAATCTATTTCAATCATCCTCCTCCTATCCACCCTTACCATCAATATGGCTGTTCGTAGTGTTGTTGTTGTGGTGAACAACTTCACTAGCAATGAGCTGAAGCGAATTTCAGTTGATATGGTACATGGCATCTTGACACCCAATAACCCGCCCCCAGAGACCATCTCGGCGAATGGACCAGGAAGTTTCGAAGTTGAGTCCCAGGGCGCAGCGACCGGCGTGGAAGGAACTATAAAATACAAGATTGATGATTCGACAGACCTCATCATCTACATCGACAATCCATTCATCGGCTCAAACTCATACAATGTCACAACAACTGGAAGCGATGAATATGAGGCTCCATATGTTGGGGGCAATGGCGATAACGCTACAATTTCCGTGACTTTACAGGCCAAGAAATAAGTGGTCGCCCGAAATTTTCTGGGTTTTGTTTTTAGGAGAAGTGCAGGGGAGGTGTGGTTGTTCTATTATGGCCCTAGTATAGTTTTCACCCTAACCAAGTATTTTCCTGCATCTTCCATGTGAATTCAAGGGCTCCTTTTATACGGCTTTGATGGTTAAGCCTCCACCATATTGTCTAGCCTACCTAAGTCATAAATAGATATTATTATAAAAACTCTTCTTCCTTTATTTTATCTCTTAAAATGATAGTCATGCGACATAAGAAGCTACATGCGCGAAAAGAGACCTCTATAAGAAGTTTAATCGCGCTATCACATCACTGTATTCATTTAGGAGTAGAGATATTATATTTATATAAGTAGAATGATCCATTTCCTGACAGAAACTTAGGGCCTCGTCACAGCCTGTCGTAGTCCATTGCCGCTTCCATTTTCAGGCTGTCCTCATGACGCACGGCTGCGAAAGCGCTGTGACGCCTCCGCGAATTCCAGTATGGCCTGGACCGTCTTCGCCCTTGAGACGCTGTCTGGTGTAATTACCTTCATCACAAATGAGAGACTTCTCGGATGTTGCCCAGCTTCTCATTATGCCTATACCCCACTAGAATTCCATGTGACCTTCCAAACACTTGAAGATCTTAGTTGACAAAATAACTCCCGCCAGCCTCATTTTTTGAGTCAGAATAAGCCTCAGAAATATGAGACGGTGAAACGTTCTCTTCAGTCTGTCGCTGAATTTGCTGTATTGTTGAAATATATCTAGGCTAGATATATGGGGGAGGATATCAGTCTCCCAGAGCTTTATATCCACTAGTCCTATAAATAATTTCGGCGAAATGTGCCTGCAAAAAGAGACCACTTCAGCATATTCAGCTATATGTACATGCATAATACTGTCTTCTGCCAGTAATTTCATGCTGTAATGCCAGTCGCCTCACTTTGTATTTTATTATATTTCTTATACTAAGTATAATACTGTAAGCAGTGACCTTGCACTGCTTGGGGGTTAGTGGGTAAGATGTCAGTATAACTAGATAACAGCAAGGTCTAGGGATATAAGAAGTTTATAGTAGGTCTAATAAGAGAATAAGATAAAGTGCTTAAGGTTCTATTTGTTACTAACCCTGGGATCCCACGTATCACTGATCGGCTTGAACGAGATCGGTGACCTAGTCTTTTAGCTATACCACAGTTCTTCGGGTATACTTCACCTAGGCGGACCACAGTCCCTGACTGTGTTCAGTCCTTTAACAGATTAAGTGGAGGGTTTGATCAAGTAAAAGGGAAGCAAGGTCCTTATTCCTACGTATAGGAATAAGTTGGTGAGTCTATTTGAATTGACTGGTACTTAAGTAATTGATATTGTTGATGCTATTAAGAATCATGGAGAACTAAATATACTGGTGAATAAGCATCCTTATATAGTCCCCTGCATCATAGCCAATTCCGAGATGGCTATGATAATTCTGTAATTCCTCATAGCTATTATATCCCTCTAGGTATGTTGGCTATGACCCGATCATATCCCGTATAGCCGTCTGGCTATGATGGGTATGATGGTCATGTGACTCCTGAGTCAGTCCCGCACTTCTGTAGTCCACGGTCAGAAGCTCCCTGCCAACCATTCTGCCCGATGAGACCGCTAGGTGGCTAGTGTCGTAACACTGTAGCCACCAGATTAAGCAGATAGCGTCGTTAACTGAGCCTGCGCTGGAATGGAAATGGATGTGCCTTTGATGGGAACAACTCAGCCAAGTGACTTGATTCTCATTTGATTCTAGACTTCTATCTTGCCACTCTTTTAGAACAATATGGTTCTTTTTTGATTTCGGCCTAGTATAACACACAGTCTTCAACACAGCATAAACTTGAATTTCTATATAAAAGGAACCTCCTACTTCACTTGGTAGTGGCAATGGGATCGAGGGTTTATGGGACAGTTATGGCCTGGATATATAACCACTAACAGGGGTTCGTTTGCTGGGAAAGAAACCATAAAGCTTCTGCCTCCCGAAGCACATGTATCCTAGAGTCAACCAGATGGCCAGTCTCAAATCCGAGTCTGTATACCACAGCACCGGGCCCCAGGGTGGAAGCGTAATTCTTCAATTGCTTCTTGACTTTGGACGCAACGAAGGGGTTAGCTCGGAAGCCAAAGAAGTTCTTGTATTCCAGCCAGTGGCACAAATGTCCATCAATTGATACTGGCTCCAGGAACCGAACATCAGGCGTTAGACGCAGTTGCACTGCTTTCTGTTCGGCTTGTGTGAGAAACAGACAGCCAGACGCTCGGACACGATCGATGAACAAGGCCTCAGCAACCTCCGCCTCCTGCCTTTTCTTCTGCATTCTTATCTTGCTCTCGGCTTTGCCTTCTGGCGTAGTGTCAGGGGGCAGGGTTCGAAGGGCAGCTTCAATGAGTGCCGACACAATTGCCCGGTCTAGCTGCGTGTGGACGTATTGTAGTAGCAGATCAACGTCCGGCCTGTAGGAACGAAGGAGGCACGCCATTTTGAAGACAGGAGCAACAGCCTCTCGAGGTATCCCAAAGTAAGGAGCAGGAGGAATAGTGGGTATAATGGTCGCCTCAGTCACTGTCGCTGGTGCATCGCGGGTTTCACCGACAGGGTGACGTGGTGACGTTTTAGGAGGGCGATCAGGGTGTGGATTATTTCTTGCTGCTACATGGCGGTGCTTTGATTTATCATGTTGCTTCTTCGAGCTTGAACACTTGAAAAACTTGTTGCACTGATCACAGCGGTGCTTTGGAGACTGGAGATGCTGGTCCAAGGCATTTTTGGATGGGAAGGAATGTCCACAGGGGATACATAGAGGCATGGTCACTGCTATGAATAAATATGTGTAAACAAGATAATAACCCTTTTTAATAGCTATAGAAAGATGAATTAAAGAAGTATGTGATGGTGCAAAGTAACTCTTATTTAAAGGTATTTTGGATGAAAAGGTCTGGTGAACAACCGCCGCTTTAGTCATTTGTTGATTTGTTGCTATCAGGCGTATCCCAAGACTCTCTGGGAAGCATATATTATGTAGTACTCCCCGCTCCGCATAGCCAATGATATATATCTAGCGTGGCCAGTTTCTCAGCCTTGTCTGTTTTATTGGCCCTCCAAGCGCGCGAGGGATGTGTTGGCTGCCTGGAAGATAAAAGCACTGCCCCATTAGGCATTCGCCATTCTAGATATTACATAGTAATGATTATTATTTCATATTTATATAATATAAGGTAGTTAGCTGGAGGACTGACATCCAGCCAGTAGTTTATGACTATTTAATGTCTACTATTATTAAGAACCTCCTACCAACGTTGAATTGCTGTACTGATGAACAGGATTCGGTCAATACTTGAAATTACAGTGATAAAAATATGTCCTTTAGGACCTAGTCAACCTAGAATTAGCCTATTAGTCTATACTGATTCTTATTAGCCACTCTATTCCATAATATCCATCCAAAATCAAATAGTTGGATAGAACGGCTGTAAGAGACAAGTTTATTCTGGCTCTTCCCATATGTCGATTTATCTACTTTCAAGGTCGTATATCCTACCCCAACCCATCAAAATTGACAACCTCTTCTGTTCTAAACAAAAAGTCATCAAAGTCGAACCGCATATCTTGGAAGATATCATCGAAGCAGCAACCTGCACCATCCGCCAGGGACCTGCCCCCATCCTGCAATGGCAGACAGTTCGTTTGTGAAATCTTCGCCGCGAGGGCCTCAAAGGTCCAAACGCACTGCTGAACATATGTACTTAAGTGGACGTGGGCGCGGAGAGCCATCAGAACATACTGCCAGGATTGAGAGACCGAGTCGGTGAAGAGATCCGATCCGACCATGGCAGCGAGGAAGACCACTCCCGAAATGTGAAGATAGTATATTCGCGTCCACCAAGGGAGGATGCCGATCCCCTGGCCTGGATCCTCCAATGTCTCGACGACTAGGGAGGTAACGCCCTGGGCGGCAGTGACACACATTCTGGCACATTCCCTGAGCAGCCGCTCACTCAGACTTGCGCAGGTGATAGACTTGGATTCAGGATCGGATTTCATCGAGTAGAAGCGGGCGAGAAGTGGTCTGTAGAGATAGATGCGGGAGTGAAGAAGACTGCACCGGAAATAGTGTAAGTATGAATGAGAGATAAGCATGATTGAAATTCTTACCGGAGATGCAGCAAGTATCGCTCCATTTGAGATGTTGTATCTTGGAGGAATCTCAGATTTTGTAACTGGAAATGACTTGGGAGGCTGGCCTCCCATTTGTCGAGACAAGCATCCATGCGGACTACCGCAGTGTGATATTCCTCCTGTTGATCCAAACGTGTAACCGATCTGGCCGCGAGGGTGCTTCCTGTCTGGATCTGGGCGAGTTGGATCTGGTTGCCAATTTCCTGCAGCTCCGATTCCCAACGGGAATGCTCCGTACGTTGGCCTTCCTGCCTGGAACTGTTTGTCGGCGAGGAGATCAAGGCCAGTGCTGATCTCTTGCCGAGCGACCAGGAGATGCATCTGCATCAGTCAGCTATATCACCCCCCTCCCTGATTTGAAAAGCGGAGGAAGTACCGATCTAAAGCCACACAGCTTGCCCAGACCTTACGTTTTATCCGGGCATCTTCACTGACATCTTCGGTGGAAGGAGTCCCCAGGGTGTGGCAACACATGGTTTGTGCGATTCGCATTGCCAGCCCCGCGGTCATCCATGTCTTTTGCTGATTCTTGGTGCAGTGGAGGTATCGGTTCATCAGCATGAGGCACTGCACCCGCTCGAGGGATGCGGGCTCCCACAGAATAGCCTCAGCTGGGAGAAGAGCCCATGCACGATGGAAGTAAGTGTTTCCCTCTTCATTCCGTTGCTCGAGGGGGGTAGATTCCTGTCTTTGTACTGCGAGGGCAAAGACCAGATTGAGGATGCCCAGCTGGACGTGAGACACACTGGGTGAGGCAAATGAGGCGGTATAATATTGGGCAAACTGTTGGCGATCTAAGATGGGTTCTGCTGGATCGATATACTGCCAATAAACATCGACGAGGTGATCTGCGTGTGTCCGGCAAGGCAGTTCAGTGGATATGGAAAGAGGCGAGCATCGGATGGGTAGATCCAGATCTCCAAACAGGGGCGCATCGACCAGTGGGACAAGATACGACGTGACTAATGGCACAAGGCCGGCTCTCTCATCTATAGCGGCGGCAACCTGGCCCGCGAATTGACCGTGAGCTGCATAATATGCGCGGCTTTGACTCTGGTCCGGATCTAAACCTCGATCAGCACCGGAAGGGCCTGGAAATGAGCATATTCCGATGGTTGCGGGGGTCGGGCTTGTCTCGTGGGAAGATGGTGGTGAAGCAAGGACAGGAACGTGTTCAGGTGCCTGTCTTGGGGCAGAGACACCTGAAGACCGGCTGTAGTTGCACGTCTTTCCTCCAGTCTGACACCTGGCGCATGCTGGTTATATTAGCTTGATGAGAGACCTTGTAGGACAGGAGCAGATACCGGGGCGGTTGCCGTCGCATTTCGTCTTCCTCGAGCGGCATTCCTGACAGGCTTTGGAGACTTTGAGTCGCGGTCTGCGTATCGGGAGTCTTGCCATTCTCTTGGGTCTTGTTTCTGATGAGGCCTCAAGGGATGTTAACAGAAGGATGCGGAGGGAGATCAGAAGATGAGATTCCAATCAGATAATAGTCCGTAAAATAAGCCCCATAGCGGATAGTCTTATGATTGGTTCTATGAATCCATCATATCCAATATCATCCAATAGAGGACTGATCCGTTGAATCCACTCTACATCTCACGCCAATAGAAACACGATCCGTAAGACACTCAAAGGTAGGTAGACAGTATAAGTAGCATCAGTTAGTGAGCACTATTTCATAAGAATTATTATAATTAAGAATCTCTTATCATCATGTCTGGTGAGACCAAAATCACCGCTGATCCCAGCGAGACTGAGAAAAGCCCCGTCTATGACGGCCAGGGCACCGAGGAAGATCCGTTTGTGGTGGAATATCAGAAAGACGACCCTGGAAACCCGATGAACTGGGGCTCCTTTCGAAAGTGGTTCATCACCGTCATTGCGACCATCTCGGTCTTTGCCGTCACTTTGACCTCCTCTGCGTATTCCGTCTCTGCCGACCAGATCCTGGAAGACTTCCCTGTCAGCGATGAGGTCTTTACCCTCGGTCTCTCGCTCTTTGTTCTGGGATTTGCCATTGGTCCTGCTGTCTGGGGTCCCTTGTAAGAACTATGCCTCTGCCTTCCGTGCTTATCAATGCATTATGATCTACTATACCTTTTTCTATCTTTTTCTAATCTTCAGATCCGAACTATATGGAAGACGAATGCTGTGGGTGATCACTCACGTTGCCATGGTAGCCTTCCTCGGGGGATCTGCCGGCAGTCAGAACATCGCCACGCTGTTGACCTTGCGCTTCTTTCTGGCACATTTGGAGCATCTCCCCTGGTGAATTCTGGCGGCACGATCACCGATCTCTTCTTACCCGCCCAGCGCGGCCTCGCCGTCACCGTCTACGCCGTTGCCCCCTTCCTGGGCCCCGTCCTGGGCCCGGTGATGGGGGGGTTCATCTCCGAGAACATCGGCTGGAGATGGGTGCAGGGCATGTGTACCATCTTCATCGGCGTCGTGGGGATCCTGGGGATCATCTTCATTCCTGAGACCTACGGCCCCGTTCTGCTGCAGCAACGAGCGCGCCATCTGTCCAAGACGCACGGAAAGGTGTATATCAGTGTCTTGGAGAAGAACCAGGGCAAGATGAAGCCATCGGAGGTGTTTGCGCGCGCCCTGATCCGGCCCTGGATTTTTCTCTTCCTCGAACCGACTGTCATGGTCGCCGCCGTCTACATGGCCATCATCTATGGCACGGTCTACATGTTCATGAGCGCGATGCCAATCGTTTACAATGAAGATCGCGGCTGGAGCGAGGGCATCGGCGGCCTCTCGTTTCTCGGCATCACCGTGGGACTCGTCTTTGGTCTGGTCTACGCCATCTGGGACAACAACGGCCGGTATATGAAATTGGTCTTGTCGAAAGCCACGACGCCCGAATCTCGCCTTCCACCCGCCATTGTGGGCGCGGTGGCCCTGCCCATCGGGATGTTTGCCTTTGCCTGGACCAACTATCCCAGTATTCACTGGTCGGTCAGCATCATCCTGTCTGCCCCCTTTGGATTTGGCTGCGTGCTCGTTCTGCTGCCCATCATGAACTACCTGATCGACGCCTACACCATCTACGCTGCCTCTGTGCTGGCCGCGGCCGCCATCTTCCGCTGTATCGTCGGCGCCGTATTCCCTCTCTTCAACACGCAAATGTACGACAACTTGGGGATCCACTGGGCGTCCAGTATTCCGGCCTTTATGACCCTGGTGTGCATGCCGTTTCCACTCATCATGCATCGCTATGGCAAGCAGGTCCGCATGAAGTGCAAATATTCCTTCGAGGCGGCGGAAACCATGAGGAAGATGCAGCAGGCCACTCAAGCATAGGCTTCTACCAGGATTATGCTAGGTTAGGGTTGGCCATTCAGCAACATTCTCCAGGAAAGATGTTTCAGCAGACTCCAGTCACTTTCCAAACCAAACATGCTCTTGTGGGATATGCTGGGCAACTTGATCCATAAAGCGACATCGCCGACAGGCGTCGCCACATTGGTGAAGCTTATACTAATATAGTATGAAGTAATCAAAGAGAGAAAGAATGGACTATATATACAATATTTTATATAATATATTGAGAGTTTCTGTATCTATAGTGATAAACACAGAGTATAAACTCGGTGCTTATAGTTTAAATATATACTGGTCTTAGTGATTGATTCAGAGTTTTATTATAGCTGCAGGATACTCTATAGATTGACATGTCCTAGCCCATCCTCTTTAATTGTCTCTAGACCAGTATTTTAAATAGGTCCTCTTTAACCTATCTAATTATTATAGGTTAGGAAATTATTGTAATGGGTGAGCTCAACTAATTTATCTCTATATTCCTTAATAGGCCATGTTTTAGCCTTATAAAGCACATACTACTTGGCGATTCTCTCTATTTATCAGAGTACTGCAATGGTATACTATCTTTTCTAGTTAAATGTCTTGGTGCTTATCTGGACCTTTATAAGTAATCTTTTAAAATGTCAATATCCAGCTGGCATCCAAAAGCTTCCAATAATATGAGTTCTTCAATCAATAAGTTGAAATACGAAAAGAAAGAGTTGACTTATTATGAACCTACTTTTATGTACTTATCTTGGCTAGAGAATGTACCACTGATCTTTATTATACTTGTCTTAGCTTTGAGGGTATTTTTAGTGTGCATCTTTGTAGACCTTGATAGAGAAGAGCTGTGGGGTCTTATACAGCTAGTATTATCATATATCCATCCCAGATGAATAGTACCTATTAACTAGATTAAAGAAATCACCGCTACTGCTAATACAAGCGTAATATATATATATGGCTATCTTTAAACCCTAGAATCCATCACCTCAATGCTTCTCTCACTTTCTTCTCCCATTTTTCTCCTGAATGATCCTCCCGCTTGTCCTTCTCTGCCTTGTCCCTCTTCCTCTCAGCATCAGTTTGGTCCTTCTCTGCCTGGGTCTTGGAAGCCTCCTTTTCTCTTTCAACAGCGGTAGCATCATCCAGGTCGTGTTCAAGCTGGGTTTTGCGGACCTCCTCGGCGCTGGTATCCTTCCCCTCGCGTTCATCCTCTTCGATCTTCTTCTTGATGGCCGTCAGATCACCCTGGACCGTCTGGGTGTGTCTTCTCGCCTCGGCCAGCTCCCGCTCGGCCCCCTTCTCGGCCTGTTCCTTGTCATTGTAGTTGTTGCGGCAGTGCTCGGCGTACACGTCGTACACAGGGGGTCTGACAGCCACGTCGTAGCTACTCGAGGGGCCCAACGCCTTGAGATGAGGCTCGATCATCTCGCTGACCTTCTGGCGGATGATTTCCTCGATGAACTGGTCCGGATTCTGCACAAACTTGCACCGGTCCAGCGTCTCCTGAAGGATAGGCCCAACCCGGCCCTCGACAAACCGCCGTAGGCTCGCTTCCGTCTCCTGCATCGCGGGCTCTCTCAACCGCTCCGTCGTCGCCTCGGCTGACTCGCGATCAAAGTCTGGCGGGTTGTCGGCCATCTCCTGGTTCGCCCGCTCCCTCACGTCGTTCAGCAGGCCTTCACGAGCCGCCTCCAGATCCACCTCGGGCGTGTCAGCGTTGCGCCGCGCAATCTGTCGCACGGTGTCCCGGATGCGGACGACGAATGGATCCAAGAAGTCGGAGATTTCCTGGCGGCGCTGGGGCACCTCTCGAGCCCACTGCGCGAGCTGGTAGATGGCCGCGGGGCCACCCAGGTAGGTAACCATGGCCGGCCCGTACAACCAAGCAATGTCGTAGATGGAGGGGATTTCCCAGGGTTTCTCGTCGCCGACGGCGGATAGGGCAAGCGCCGCCCGTGAATATTGTTCCCTTGCGTGCACAGGTGGGATGGTCAGGATGCCCGAGATCTTGTCTTTCCCCTTGATCAAGGCCTGAAAGCTGGTTGTCACCACCTCAGTGGTAGTTTCGTCATACTGGCGAGCAAACGTGATGGTGACCTCGCCGTGCGTTATGGTGGTCAGCTCCAGCTGGGTGCCCGAGAGCCGATATTGCGCAGTACAAGTCTTGGGCTGGTCCAGTAGCTGTGAGCGCAATCCCCAGTACACTGTGGTTGGAGAGGAAGGGAAGATGGCAAAGGCGAACTCGCCCCCAGCGGTTGCTTCGTAGTATCCCGTCCAGACAGCCAGATCGAGCTCCCCAGAGGGCTTGACGCCCTCCACCATGCGATCGAATTCCTCCTGGGAGAGGGCCAGGGCGTCCTCGTCCATATCTGCGTCCTTCAAGGCATCCAAGAAGGCGTCATAGTCATTGTCCACCGCCGCCTTTAGCGCCGCGGAGGCGAGGTCGTTGTTCTGGTTGAACTCGAAGAAAGTGGCGGCCTTGGTTGACATTGTAGTGTGTTAGGTGCAGAGTTAAATCAGCAGAATAGGTCTTCAAAAAAGTATATATATCTCAGAGACACCTAACTAGACTTTTAGTTTCATTACTAGCTGGTGCCAGCCGATACTATCTGTGAGGGGGATTGCGTCTCTGTACCGTATTCAAATGAAAAATACACATAATTTGCAATATTTCGATTTCCTGGTTTTAGGGTTTAGGGTTAGGGTTTACAGCCTTGGACTCTTAAAGTGTAGTTCTAGGTTAATGGTAAGCTTAAAATGTGTGAATAAGATATTTTCTTCATGAGGCTATACAACCCTAAAAACTGAACCAAATAATCCTCGGGCAGTACAACTATATATTATTTATCCTGCTCTTCAATAGGTACCTATGAAAAAATGAAATTTGGCCATTGAAAAAACAGACTCGTTTGGGTGTACTCCGTACTATATACCTGCAGGATACAGAGTATAGAGGTTCATGCAGGGCCCCCACACAACATGACAATTCAAGCCCAGCTGAAGTGGACCAGGTTCAGCTGCATTTCCACAGCCACTATGAGCACAGATCTAGTAGCCTTGTGATTACCCTGGTATCCATCCAAAAGCTATGTCAACATTGTATTGTCTCTGAATCAAAAATCATCAACGAAATCTGTCGAATACACCATGTCCACTCAGCTACCTCCCGACCAGTCTCTCTCAGTTGAGACGTTGGGCGGACGACTGGTTCTGCACTCGGTGTCAGAAGATGGGATAACAATTGGCAAGGACACCCCGTATGAAAGCCTGACGGGGTACCACAAGGGATCGCATTTCTTCAGCGAAAGCATCCAGCTCACCTCAGCCGTTCAGGCCCCATATGGCCTCACCCTCTCGGCATGGACGGTCATCTGTGGCCAGGCGCGCCTGACGCTGGACGCGACGGGCGTGGATGGGGGCGCCTCGGCGCCCAACGGGCAGCCCGGGGGTGCCTTGACGCTGTACGTGCAGGACACAAGCGACGCGACGGCGCAGAACCTCTCCCTGCTGGCCCGGGGGGGCAAAGGCTACGATTTGCGCCCGGCCACCAGCGGCAGGCCCGGTAACGGGGGCCGCGGGGGCACGATTGTCAGCGTGGTGCAGCCGACGTACATCCAGGCCTGGGCGCCGCTGGACGGGTACTACGCCCGGGCGGAATTCCACCCAACGGATGAGCAAGACTACCACCACCCCGTCAAGCCGGGCGATTCCGTGTTTGTGGCGGGTCGGGGGATTGTTCAGGCAGGGCAGCGCCTCGCCGCGCCGGCTGTGACCATCACAGACATATTTCAGCCGTTGGCGGACGAACTGGCGGACGGGCACAGTCCCAGCGTCCTCAGCATCAAGCTTGCCGTGGTCAAAGTGCGCCGGGCGTTAAGCAGCCGGATCGCCCAGCAGCAGGTGCAGCTGGCCCCGACGGCGGGGGACGTCCGCGGGGGCTACGGGGGCGTGGGCGTGGGCGTCTTACCCCCCGTCACGCCCGGGGGCGATGGGGTCCCGGGGACGGAAATGCAAGTCTTCCTTAAGGACTGGGCCCCGGCACAGCTGGCGACGGCCCGGGCGCCCTTTGTCCACCCCAAACAGTGTTCCATGCTCGCCAACCGCGCGAATCTGTTCTTCTATATGAACTCGCCCAAGTTACGCAGCCACGCCCGGACGCTATACCACCGGATCCTGAGCCGCCTCAGTTTCCTGCCGCTACAGGCATCGGATCCCCTCTGGAAGGCGTACCAGGACTGTCCCTTCATGCCGACAACCAGCCTGCAGGACCTGGAGAACATCAAGACCGACGTGACCCTGCAGTTGACCCATCTTGATTCTGGTAAAGTGGTATGTGTTTCCTCTTTATAAGTCATTGCCGTGTACTGAAGTTGAAACCAGAACTTCCATGGTTTTGCCCCGACTTGGGTGCCCCGGGCGAGCTATAAATTCTATAAGGAAGTGTTTGACGACGCGATGGGAAATTTACAGGCGCTCGAGACAGCTTATATCAACTACCACGCCGCGTTGGCCAAGCAGCAGGATCTCAACGAGGACCTGAAAGCCGTGTACAAGAACACCACCCAGATGGTGGAGGGTTTGCAGAAGGACATTGAAGACCTCCAGTTGATGGCCCAGACTCTCGACGGGCAGATTACTGACCTGCGTGTGGATGTTGCTTTAGCCCGCCAGAGCCTGTTGACAGCGATGAATGCCGAGCTACAGGCTATCAAGGCTGCCTTTGGCTTTACAGTTCTTCAACTGTAAGTAAACCCTAACCCTAAGCGCCGAGTCTTTTTTTCCATATCTCACCCAGCAGGATCAATGTCTTCACTATGGTCAATATGGTTCCAGGCTCATCAAAGATCCTTATGGGACTACTGGAAGGCGGCGAAGTGGTCTACCAGGGGTTCACTGAGATCCCGACCACCGACGGGACAAGCATCCGTAAAGAATATCTCGCCTCCCAGTTCCACAGGGACGTCAAAACCCTTGAGAAGCTGTCGGTACTGCTGGCCAAGAGGAAGAATGGCGATTACGAGCTGGACGAAGCGTTCGGCGTGCGAGTGCTGGCGGACAAGGACGAGCTGAATGCCCAACTGGACCGGTTTTCGACAGAGGCGTTTGGCGGCGTGCACGACGCAGCCACTCGCAAGGCCATGAACAAGGCCTTTGACGCTCTTCTCGCAGTTCTGGACAAGCGTAACATGCTCATTTTCAAGTACAACGCCGCCCTCAAGCTCATCGTGGCCAAGACCGCCCAACAGGCGGCCTTCCAGAAGCAGGAGCGCGATCTGTCTCGCCGCCGGATCGAGAGCAACGACCCAGACCTGCCCATCATCACCACATATGTCGACGCCATCTACCAGGCCGCCCGAGCACGCGTCATGAAGCTGCTGGACCTGCTCCTCCGCTCCCTGAACTTCCGCATGCTGATCGCCTCGGATATCTACGACTACGCCTTCGAGGGCTCGGATCCAAACCACCCTGGGACTCTAGACAAAGTGCCCCTAGCACTCACCACCTCCCTACTGCACAACATGCGCTCCAAGGTCCAGGCGCGCTTCAGTCAATCGGTCGAGTACTGGGGCTCTGAGCCTGCAAAGTTCCCTGGCAATTTCGACCATGACGTGGGTAAAAAGTATGCCTTGAACAAATTCCAACTCAAGGCGCTGCTGGGTGGAGCTCATGAGGTGAGAAGATTCATTTGAAAAGAAAAAGGAAAAATTAGAACAAGGTTGATGAGATATAGATTGTTTTAACGATTCCAACGGCACGGAAACTAACCCCCAAGGCCGGGGACTTTGCCGGCTGCTGCAATGTGCGTCTGTACCGTGTGCGCTTCCAGATGAAGGGCCTCAAGCTCAACACCAGCAAGAGACAACCGGCAGAAGAGGCGCTGGTCAAGTTCACACTCACCCACGGGGGCCACGAAACGCTCGTCGACCGGGCGAACCTGGGGATGGACTTTGACCACGATCCGGTCAGGGTGCTGTACTCCTTCCGGCTTCACGCAGACGGCACTCAGACCGTCTTAGACAACGGCAACGTGGCCGAGTCGGACATCAACCAAGTGGCCACCTCATATGCGGCCCCGGGGCCCTTTGCCGAGTGGACGATCAGCATGGCAGGCTCCGACTTTGATAATCTCGATCTGACGCATGTTACAGGGGCGTACTTTGACTTTTGTGGCACTAATTATGCGTTTAAATAGGAGTGCCAGATAATTCTGCAATATAGGATAAGCCCTGATAACATGCGAACAACAGGAATAGTAAATTGTCAAGCCATAGTAGTTCAGAAGCCCGCCCTCTGAAAGATTCTGCAAATAACTAGTGCCGTTTCTGACTATACTGTAATTTTCACTCGGCACTCTCTCCACAGCTGAACTGCAGAGACGGCTGGATTTAGTCTAGCCAGGTTGAATAGAAAAGCCAATAGACTCCGTTTCTAAGCGAACACCCGCTCTCACAGCTGAAAACAGAGCTAAAGAGGGGGGGGAATAATGGCTGAGCTGAGAAATGACCCCGGCTAGCTGAAGGATGGCTCTCCTGGAGAGGGGGGTGGGGAGGGAGAATAGGGCAAGGCAAGAATGATCTAGGCAGAAGAAAGTAAGTTGGTAATTATTTAAAGGATTAGACCCAAGCCTGGAATCAGTCTCAGTCCAGGGACATCTGATCCATGATGTATTTTGATCAATTGCGCAAGGAGGACAACCATACTCTTGGCTGGGATGTGGTGGTCAATTATGGGTGAGCAGTCAGAAATCTAAATGACTAACCCTAACCCTAACCCTAACCCTGAATAGCGTGAATGAGATCAACAAAGCGTTGGCTGCGGCGCACGCAGACTCGGATTCCAGGAATTCCATCACGCACATCACCTTGTGAGACATCAAGATCAAGACCCTCCTCTCCTCCTAACGCCGTCCTGTCTTGCTAATTGCTCCTAGCCAGGTGACAGGGAGTGACTGGAAAGGCGACGAATACAACGTGGACTACAACTTCTCGCTTGGTGCCCCCATCATCCAGGTCACCTTTAAGGACACAGTCGGCTTCATCTGCGAGCTGACTGTCCCCGTCATCTCAGGTATCGCCACCGGCCACAATGGAGAGGACAAGGCCGAGCAGACCGTTGGGAGCGACGTGTACACGTTTGTGATTGACGGCCTCTTGATGGGCACCGCGCTGGGAGGCTCGACGGGAGCCATCACGCCCCCGGACACGCCATTTATCTTCCCTACGGACTCTAAAGACGGCATTGTGACGATTGACTTTCCGACCTCGAAGGATATGTCGGTGTCGATCCAAGATGGCCGCCGTGCGGACAAAAAGACCAGGATATCGTTTGTGGAGGCCCATAAGGCGGACGTTTGCCTCGCGATAGCCCAGCAGCTGCGCACCACCTACAAGAACGTGCGCCTGGAGCTGGCCCGGGTGAATTCCTCGGCAGCCCCCGGCGATGCGGTCCAGCTGCAGCCGAGAAGCTTCATGTTCGCCGTCCTCTCTGAGAAGAACAAGACAGTGCTGAAGGAAAACATCCTCAGCGTCTTCATCCAGACGGGCAGCACCGAGTCTGGGACGCGCGATGAGAGTCGGGGCCGCAAATGGTCAGCCCTTTGGCTCGATACTCTGAGAATATCCCCCATCTACAGCAGCCATACGGCATCGATGTTTTTCAAAAAGGAGACCATCTACGACTTGATGATCCGCCCTGCGATCAGGAAGCATGGGATGTCCAGCTCCCTCCGGTCCAGCAGGGGCACTATCTCTCTGGATCTGTACACCGGCCAGAGCATGCATCGCGATGCATATGTATATCCGGACCCCGAGCCTGATCGCTTCAGGAACTATAGGAAAGTTTCCCAGATCAACGCGGATCCAGATCCCATTGCTTTGGTTCTCAAGGTGAGTTTGGCCAGCTCCTTTAGAGACGAAGGAGGGTGGCCACTGACCAGACTTCAGACCGAAGGAGATGCTGTCAAATGCAGGGGAACCTGCACCTACAGCTACAAATTTGACTGGATGCAGGAGTTTGGGTATACAGGAGATGAAGTTTTGTCGTACGGCACTGTGACAGTGACAAACACGCTGGACAAAACCCTGGGAACCACCACATTTGTCGACGACTACGCATTAAACATGGGCTGCACGATCTCTGCGGGCGACTGGACGCGCAAACTGGTGCCGGACAATCAGGACTTCTGGCACAAATTTACGGGAGGGTCAGAGGATATCCCATTCTGGGTCAGTAAGCTGGATCTTGTTCTCGACACCATCAAGATGGACTTTGGCTCCCTTTATTTCTTCCTCACCACCAACCTGCTGATGCCCGGCAAGAAGGTGATCCAGATTGACAAGTCATTGGGCTTGCAGGTAGTCGGCAGTTTGTATATTGCGGGAGATGTTATCGCAAGCTAAGGAATATAGTATAGTTTAAGTGTCAGAATATAGATCTAAATAGGATGAACGCTTTGGTTTAGGGTTTAAACCCTAAACCCTAAACCCTAACCCTAAACCCTGATCTATAATCTCTAGGAGAAAGATAAAGATTATATACTTATCTAGCCTACTAGTAGCTAAATATTAAAGCAGCTATATAGGCCTAGTAGTGAGTTATAAGCTTATTTAGTTATCTACTCCGTAGGAGCTGAACCCTCACTACATGAGGTTAAGAGGGAGGCTAAATAATATTAATGGCATTTACCTACAGCACCTGAGAATGACTATCACTAGGAATTAATATAGAAACTAGTGTACTTGAAGAGGGTAATACTAAAGTAGTCTTAAGCTTATATAGATATTGATATATAATTCTATATATATTATAGTAATTATAGTATATATAGAGTTGTTTGATTTTAAGCAGATTCTATTATACAGTTATAATAACCTTGTTTTTACTTCTAGCTAATTAGATACATTTACATAACAGCTAAGCTCACCACGTTTATACACAATCATGTTTCAGTCAGGCCAATATACATCAATCCTCATATTCCGCTGCAAAGTCCGAGTGCTCATCCAGCCACTGCGTATAGCCCATGGCCGGCTCCAGGGCGAGCGAGGGATCCAGCACGTAACTGTCTGCGACGCCGGCCGTCAACGTACCGTCCCAGCAGTGCTCGGCGAAGCACTGCTGGCAGGCCTGGGGGCGCGCAATGCCCATGCGCGACAGACTGCGGTCGATGGCGGCGCAGCCCAGACAGTCGGTCCAGGAGTCGCTGAGAGAGCCGTTGCCCTGCGTCAGCAGGTTGAAGCTGTTCTGCATGACGCCGTCGAGCATGGCGTTGGACATGTTGGTCACGGACCACGAGTAGTTGCTGTACCAGCTGTAGGGGGCGTTGGCAAAGTAGGCGACGATGGGCGAGGTCTCGTCGCGCGTGGTGGTGAGGTTGACGTCGCAGCCAAACAGCACGGGCTTGGAGGTGTAGTTGCGCGCCAGCATCTCGCTCGCCGGCGGCACCTCGGGGAAGGGCAGGCCGTGTTTACGGGCCTGCAGGTAGCTCTCGCGCAGGTTGACGCCGTTGCTCCAGGTGTAGGGCTCGAGCTCGCAGCTGTCGTCCCAGGCCAGGATGAGGTCGACCTTGCGGGCGGGCTGGATCAGCGGCAGCAGCGGGATGGCCTGGCCGGCCTCGGAGCCGTCGGCGAGGGTGAGGTTCTCCTGGCTGCCAAACGGGTTGGGGATGGACGGGTTGCTGATCTCGGCGACGGTGTAGTTCCACAGCTCGCTGAAGATGGCGTCGACGTCCTCGACCAGGGCGTCGAGGGCGGCGCTCTCCATGTCGCGCTTGGTGAACTGGCCCAGCGTGCCGTTGCTCACCTCGGAGAGATACCAGAAGTTCCACGCGCTGGCCGCCGTCCCCATCACGAAGCTGGTCTGGTCCAGGTTCGCGACGCACTGCTCGGCCGTGTTGTTCTCGTTGGGCACCGTGCCCACGTACCGGGTCGGGATGAAGCCTTTCTCCCACGATCCGAACTCGAACGGGTTCCATTCATACTGGATGGTCAGCTTTTATCTCGTGGGAATATAGGAACAGAATTGTGCACTGAGGATAAAGCTCACCCATGGCGCATCCCACGAGGCTACATAGACCCCATCTTCCACCGGCGAGCTGCTGTTGATGCTGCTGGTCGAGAGGATCGGCATCGGCCCTGCGAAGCTCTTGAAGCCCGGCAGCTCCGGGATCGACGACCACGTCCGGTTGACGCCGGGGATGTACTCGTACGCGAAGCCGCGGCCCAGAAAGTCCGTCACGCTGATGTTGAAGCCGGCCTCCCACTTCTCGTAGATGCTCTCAAAGTATCCCTCGACCGGCGCCGCGTACTCGCTGTACGTCGTCGCCTCGAACCGGTCGATCTCGACGTGCCAGTCGCTCACCATCTCGCGGATGGGCGCATAGTCGTGGAACGTCGGCGACGCAACAGGCCACGATCCCCCCGACAGGCCCGCGATGTACGTCAGCATCTGGAACAGCCCGCCCGTCCGCGCCTCTTTGGCCCCTGCCGTGCGTTCGTCCAGCGCCAAAAGACCGCCCACCCCCGTCATCGCAGACCGGAAGCCGCCGCCGCTGTTCGCCCATGCAATCACCGGCACGTTGAAGTCGACATCCTCACGCACCCGGTCCATGTACTCGGCCGCGTCGAGGCCCTCCAGCTTCAACCGCCGCAGGTACCGGCCCAGAGCGTCGACGATCTCGCCCTTGCGCCCATGCACCCAGCGCGTCTCGTTCAGCGACGTCGATAGGGGTGGGCGCACCAGCTGGATGCCTTCAGGGCAGTCGACATAGTACGGCGCATAGCTGCTGCTGCTGCTGCTGCTGCTGCTGCTGGCAACGGCAGTGCCAGCTGCCAGTAAAACGGGGAGGGCAATGTGAGAAATCATGGTTGTTGACGGTTGAAGGACGATTGAGAGGGTATGGAGTACTTATACTATGGAGTACTTATACTATGAAGTACTTGTAATAATGCTTACTTTGTTCCCACACCGAGCTGGTTGCCTTGTACGGTCAATGATTTACTCTGTGCATCTCAATGCTTACCCTGACTCCGAGCTGGTTGCCTGATACGGTAATAATCCTGCCGATCGTAGGAAGAGCCGTGGCCCTAATTGTGCAGGATGACGTCAGGGCAGCTCTAACTGGTTACTCCTTTTAGTAATGTTCTTGCACCATCCCTGCGCCTTAATTTTAAAGCAAGAATGATTCTAAGCTGAAAGATCAACCATCTACATTACATAGTACTATATAGTATCACTAATTACATGCCAAATCAAGCCTAATGTGTTGACATCTAAATGCTGACAATTCTTACTTAATTTCGCATATTCATCAGGATTACTGCCTACTCTGTACACTCATATGATCAACCTTACAAAGTATGCATCAGACGTTACTAATTAAAGTAATGAATGCCCATAAGGCTGCTTAGCCGAGCTTGCTAGTCAAACTAATTTCCGGAGGTTGGGGCGGTGTAATGAAGTGGACTGGGGGCCAGGCGGGTATATGTGGATTGGATAATCCATCTATGCAGTAGACTATAAGCACTTATTGTGAAGTGTAAAGAGGAGTCCTTCTGCTATCTTACCCTAGGTTGCCTAAGTAGCGCTCTCAAGCAGAGACAATGCTGTCTAATTATGGTACTTATCACTACCACTAAATCTCCAATACTACATTTTTTTCCTTTATTTATATCAAATAGTAGTATCATGATTTCTCTATTATATACACTAATACAGCTTCTTTTATATCCTAGACGGATAGTTCATCTTCTGTACCACATCCTTGTCACTGGAGTCTTCCTCATCTTCTTTTGTAGCAGAAAGATGCCCTGCAAGAGAGCCTCCACAGTAGGAGGACAGCCCGGCACATAGATATCCACAGGGACAATCTGATCCACCCCCCGCACAACATCATAACTGTAATGATAGTACCCGCCCCCATTTGCACAGCTGCCTATACTGATCACCCATTTTAGGTCCGGCATCTGGTTGTACAGTTGTCGCAACGCAGGCGCCATCTTGTTGCATACCGTGCCCGCTATGAGCATCACATCCGCCTGACGGGGCGAGGCCCGGAAGATGATCCCCAGTCGGTCCTGGTCGTATCGGGGCATGGAGGTGTGCATCATTTCAATGCCGCAGCAGGCCAAGGCAAACGTCAACGGCCACAGGGATCCTTGTCTAGCCCAATTGACAAGCTGGTCGGCCTGTGTCCTTGATAAGACGTCATAGTTAGAATCATGGACTAGACTCCGAGAATCTGGATCAGAACATACAGCACATAGCCAACTGCCCCAGATTTGTCGCCATGTCCTGTCTTGCTTATGGCTCGTGTCATCGGCAGAGAGGCCAATTTAGGTGCTGCAGTCAGGAATTTCGACATTTTGATATCTCAACTCAGTCATGCCTGGATCTTAGTAGGTAGACCTTTTATAGGTATGCTCCATAGCCAATCAAAAGATAAGTCGGCGACTAGGTGGATACTCTCTGGCCAATCGGATTTGAGAAAAGTCGGCGACTAGGTGGGTCATCGGGATAACATTGATCCACCATTACTTTGAAAGAAGACAACTGCTTATTCTTTGTATGTATTCATAGTGTACAATACATTAAATATGCCAGTTAAAATTGCTTGTCGGCAATGCCACAAGCGGCGGGTTAAATGCGACCGAATTGAGGGAATGCCCTGTTCTCAGTGTCGCATTGCCTGCAGCCCCTGTGAACCCATCCTCTCCCGCCGTGGCCGGTACGTCGCCCGAATAGACAACTTATAGACAATTGAATTGATTTGAGGTAGACATCGAAAGCTTCCTCTCAACAGTTCTTTCCATCTTGCTGCCCTGTCGACTGCTAGAGACTCACAGAACCGTGAACCCGGCCTGATCCCAGACCATCGGCCTAGAGGCAAAATCCCCTATGTGGTCGACGCGTCCAATATTAGTTATCTGATTCGAGAGTTTGGCTCCCCGGATCAAACCTCCACCCCCATCGAAGAATGCCTGAATAGAGCTATCCGCGAGCGGCTGGATCAACCGACAAGACAACATGTTGACAGCCTTCGCAGCTCGACTCTGCGTCGGCTTAAGAATGAAAAGGCGTTTGATTTACCGTCGCAAGCCATCAGCACGGTTCTATTAGATGTCTTCTTCCAGAATTCCCTTTCTGCGCTGGCAAGCATCGAGAAATCCGATTTCATGGATAGCATCCAGAGAGGCACAGTCTCCCATTTGTTATTGAATGCAGTCTACATGGTTGCAACCATCTACTGTCCGGATTCGATCATCAATGATGCTGGATTTGCATCCCGCTATATCGCCAGTCTCACCTTCTACCATCGAGCCAAGGATCTTTATGATGCAGGGCACGAAACTGATGCCATCGCCGTCATCCAGGCCACCTTTCTCCTCTCCCAGTGGTGGAGTGGCCCTCTCGAACAAAAGGATCCGTGGTATTGGCTAGGTATAACGACAGGGATGGCGCAATCCCTGGGTATGCATCGATTGTAAGTAGATCTCACGAATGGCCTCAAACATGCTAACTGTTCAGAAAACCATACTCGAACCTTGAATCCAGAGATCGCAGGCTGTGGCGCAGAATATGGTGGATAATTTATGTTGGTACATGGAACCATTGGTGATTATAATGCTGACTCGATTCAATAGGCTACAGATATTTATCTGTCCATGGGTCTTGACAGAGCGCCTCATGTCCACGACAATTTCTGTGAAATACCGACACTCACGGCAGATGATTTCCAAGGAGCCTCAGCACCAGGCGAGCAAGTGCCTTTTATGATATCCCATGTCCAACTTGCTCGAACCGGTATGACAGTCTTTTCAACGACTGGCATGAGAGATCACTAGTGAATAAATTTCATCCTTTGCAAGTGTTCGAAGCGAACTTTCTCGAGCGAATCTCGGCTTGGGCTACACTGCTTCCATACGAGCTGCAGTTTCCTTCAAAGAATATATCGGGCATCTTGACTCAATTGACCTATGAGTACGTCAAATACAACACCCATTATCAGGCATGGTATGTCTAATCTCTCATTCCAGCCAGTACCAGCTGCTTTTTCTCCGAAAAGGCCCAGATGCAGCACAGATGGGTCCTGGGTCTCGCATATTCGAAATATGCACTCGCTTGTTCCGCATGCTCGAGGACTTGGTGACAGGCGGTATCCTCTTCTCCGTTGCTGGCCATGTGTAGGTGATTGACTTATTGATAAGCCTACTTCCTACGGAAAGAAACGTTAACGAGGCACTATAGACTCCCTGCCGTCATGTCCTCGCTCTGCTTCCATATCGCCAACATTAGCAGAGGACAACAGATCAGACCGATTGCTGAGCATCGAGCACGCTTCTGCTTGCATATTCTGAAAGACCTCCAGGCCTCATGGCCGATCATTGCCTCGGTATTGTCATGGCGACGGCGAGGTCGTTTGTATGCCTTAGGCAGGTCGTGGTGAATAGGGCCGCTATTCCTGTTTTAGCTTAGTGCGGGAAAGGGGAGAGGGATATTAGATGCGCCTCACAACGCACCTCTCCCTCCTCTCCTCTTTCCCCTCCTTATTTAAATATTTTAGTATTGAAGCCACTAATTGATTATTTATTTGCTTAGGGCCATTATATAATATTTAAACTAACTAATCTTAATTTCTATATAATTAATAGCAGTTAAATAATACTCTAATCATCTAGTGATTCTATTATTATATCTAACTGCTAGATCATGTTAATAATGAAAATATAATAAGACTAAATAATAACCCCTAAGTGTCATTTAGATGTTATAAGACCCTTAACGGAACTAAGGACATAATAATAAAGAAATAGTTCTTTAGTCTTTATATAAATAATCTAGATATACTATAGGATATAATGTCACACCTAGTGACTAAAAGTAACTAATAATTAATAAATAAGAAGCTTTATACTAAAGCTAAGGCCATGTTGGCCCTAAAGAATAATAAATAGTTAAAAGAAACCTAGTTGCAACTAAAGGAAGTATAGGCTAGACTTATAGTTATAGAGAATAAATATATAGAATTTATATTAACTCTTATATATAATACTACTAGTAATACTACCTTAATTAATAGAACCCCTAAACCTTATAATTCTTATAGACTTAAGCGCTCTACTAAACTACCTAACCCCTTAATGCTAACTAATGGTAAGGATCCTAGATTTAATAATTAGCTGATATTAATAAAGTAGAAGCTATATACTAATAAAGATTATTATAATACTAAAGAACTTTATATTATCTATATATTTAGTTATATAGATAGAAAGGCCCATAAATATATAACTCTTAAACTTTAAGATAATATAAAGAACCTTTATAATATGGCTAGTGATATCCTTAACTATCTAGAGACTATTTATAAGGATCTAAATTAGGTCATTAATACTAAAGTATTGTTCTATTGTCTATTCTAGAAATAGGAGAAATTTTATAATTTCTTTTTTAATTTCATGCACCTGGCTATAGAGGTAGGAGTTAATAAGGATAATCTTTAAAATAAGCTCTATTATAAATTAAGTCATTATATATAAGAACTTACTATCCCTAAAATTAATAAGGATAGATCCTTTAAGGAGTTCACTAAATACTACTCTAAAATAGTAAATTAATTAGAGGTTATAAATAATAATATAAACTATAGTAAAGGTGAAAGAGAAGAAACTATACTCACTAGTTTAAATATAAATAATAAGGTATTAACCTCTATTATTAAATATATCACCTTATAGAAGCTGAATACTTATAACTCTCTCTATCTTATTATTAATCTAGCTATTAGGAAGTGGAGGGAGGACTATAATACTTATTTTATATATAGCTTAATAAAATATAAAGCTAGGGCTTATCTTAAATAGAAGACTACTAACTTAAAGCTGGCTAAGCTTAAGGAACTAGAGGCTAAAGAGGAACCTATAGAGCTAGTAAAAGACTTAGCCTAAGAAAAGTCTCCTCTCTAGGTGAAGTAGAAGTGGACATAGGAGAATTAGACCTATCTAAACTAATTAGTGGATAACCCTTTATTATAACTAGTTAGTTATTATATAATAGATATAGTATACTAATTATTATATTAGTAGATATAGGAGTGAGAGGAAGCATCTTTATTAATATATAGAGAATAAAGGATATAACTTAGTTCTTTAATATCCCCTTATACCCCTTATTAGAATTAGTGGGTATTAAAGGATTTAACAGCTAGCCTAGGACCCTAATTACTTATATTATTATTCTACACCTATAAGTAGATAGATAATAATTTTTAAATAAACTAATACTTATCACTAATTTAGGGTATTATAATATTATTATTAATAAGACCTAGATAGTAAAATAAGACACCTAATTAGACTATTAGAATAATTAGCTTATATAGCTAAAATAGAGCCTAATACTAAATAAAGAACTTTAGAAGAAATAATCTATAGTATTACCTAAGATAATACTATAGTAGAAGAGTGAATTAATAGTGAAAAAGGAATTCTAAGAAAATATAGTTTATTATAATAAGAAGCTAATAATAGAGATAAGAGTAGAATAATACTAATAAAGGAATTAGACTTATTATTAACTATTTTAAATAAAGGCCATCCACCATTATAGCAACCTGGCCAAGATGGAGTGAAAGCTAAAGAAAAGTATTATTAATAAAGAGGATTAAGTCCTAAAAAGGAAGGACTCCCTAAGATATAATAATTTAATAATAATTAATATTACTATTATTAGGGCACTAGCATTTTATTAGTATATAAAGAAGGAGGATTTAAAGATCTTTATTATTAGCCTAATAGAGATTAAGTAAATTATTAAGAAAAAATAATAGGATTAATAGAACTCCTAGACCTAGGGAGTGGTACTCACTAATATAGAATAATTAAATAAGAACCTATCCTAACTTATTCTAAAGGAGTATTATAATTTCTTAAATATCTTTTTTAAAAAGAAGTCAGACAACCTGCTACCTTATTAGAAAAAATATAATTATAAGATCTAATTAAAATCTAATATATCTATAGAGGAGGCCATTAGATATAGTCCCCTATATAAGTAATCCCTTAAGGAATTAGAGGCGGCCCACTAATATATAATAAAAAATCTAGATAAAGAATTTATTAGCTATACTAATTTATCTTATGCCTCATTTATCTTAATAGTAAGAAAGGTAGATAAAGGTCTATAGTTCTATATAGATTATTAAAAGCTAAATTTAATTATAAAGAAGGATAAATATTCCCTACCCCTAATTAATAAACTACTTAAGTAACTAAATAGAGCCTAAGTGTTTATAAAGCTTAATATATAATAAAGATTTTACTATATATACCTAGATCTAGAGGCCAAAGATCTAACTGCTTTTAGAACTTACTATAGTACCTTTAAGTATAAGGTTATGCCTTTTAGGTTAATAAACAGTCTTATCACCTTCTAGTAATTTATTAATAGTATATTTATAGACTATTTAGATAAGTTTATAATAATATATATAAATAATCTACTTATTTATAATAAAAATAAGGCTAAATATTAAGAATATATTAGAGAGGTTCTAAAATGCTTATAAGAGGCAGGATTATAAGTAAGTATTAAAAAATATGAGTTTAATATTTAAAGAATTAAGTATTTAAGATTTATTATTATTATCTAAGGGATTAAAGTAGACCCTATAAAAACTAATGTAATCTATAACTAGAATTATTTAATAATAGTAAGATCTATATAATTATTCCTTAGGTTTTACAACTTCTATTAGAGGTTTATTAGGAACTATAGCTATATAATATAACTATTAATAGCCCTAACTAAGAAAGACCTTCTATTTAACTAGAATAAGGACTATAAATAGGCATTTAAGGAGCTAAAATAACAACTAATAGAGGCACCTATTTTAGGCCACTATAATCTAAAGCTCCTTATTAGAATTAAAATAGACATATTAGATAATATAGTGGCTAGAATACTATTATAAAGGTTTAAAGAAGATGAACTCTAGTATCCTATTATATTCTTCTTAAAGATAATATCGCCACTAGAACATAATTATAAGATCTATAATAAGGAATTATTAGTGATTATTTAGGCCCTAGGAGAATAGAGAGTAGAGTTAGAAGGACTATAAAGAGATAAATACTTTAATATACTCTTAGACTATAAGGCATTAGAGTACTTTATAATAAAGCAATAGTTAAACACATAGTAGGCATATTAGTTAGAGTTGCTCTCTTAGTTTTACTTTATTATCTATTACTAATTAGGGAAGGAAAATATGCTAGTAGATGCCCTAATAAGAAAGAAACTAGAGAGGAGGGAGAATTATTATCTTTAAATACTATTAGCTATAGAGGTGCTTAATAAATAAATTTAGATAGAACTTAAGCTCCTTAAAAGTAAGAGTTTTAAGTTAACAACTTATATGACGCTAGACAGTATAGTATTAGATAATAATAATTTAAATAATTTAATAACTAACTACTTAATCTCTAATAATAAAGTATTAGATAGGTTATTAGTATTAAATAAAGATGATAATAGAATAATCTAAATGGCTCCCCTAGACTAAGATGTCTATATTCTAGATAGGCTACTCTAAGAGAACTGCATGGCGACCTCTTTATAGACATAATATAAGAAGGCCAAAATAAGAGAGGCACTATAGATAATATAGGAGGGACTACTTCTATATTAAGATAAACTAATAGTTCTAGAGGAGGGTGACTTAAGAGTATAATTATTAAATAAGATTTATTAATAGCTGTTAACTGCCCACCCTAGATAGAATAAGATAAGAAAGCTCCTATAGGACTAATATTACTAGCTTAATTAAAGAAGTAATATAGACTAATATATTAAGAACTACTTTATTTATTATTATTTAGAGAATCTTAAAGACTAGACGCTAGGGCTCCTATAACCCCTACTTATCCTAAAATAACTATAGTAATATATCTTAATAGACTATTAATCTTTCCTAAAAGATAATGACTTAAAGGATGCTACCTTAGTGGTTATAAATAGGTTAAGTAAAAAGACTATCTTAATCCCCTACTTTAAGATAAATAGCGCAAAGGAACAGGTGGAGCTGTTTATTAAATATATATATTAATACTATAGAGCCCCTAATTCTATAGTATTTAATAGAGGTCCTTAATTTATTACTAAGTTCTAATAAGAGTTCTATTATATCCTAGAGGTAAAGCTGAAGCTGTTAATGGCTCACTATATATAAATAAATAGTTAGATAGAGATTATAAATTAATATATTGCCTAATAATTATATCTCTTTATTAACTATTATTAATTAAATTAGTTAAAGCTTTTATTATTACTTAACTATATAGCTGCTATCTTGCCCTATAAGTCGACAGGAGTGTCGCTGTTCCTAATGGATTAAGGTTACTTATTAAGAACCTTATTTAACTAGAGAGATTAGAATAAGGATAAAGACTCACCCTTAATATTAAGAATAAAGATAAAATAATAGGAGGCGGAGAAAAAAGCTAAACAGCTATAAGAGGTATAGGAATTTATAAGAAAGAATATAAGAGAAGCCTAAGAACGCCAGAGAACCTAGGTGAATAAGTATAGGAGATAGATTAACTTTAATACTAATAATAAAGCCTTTCTTATAATAAAGAGCTATAAGATAGATAGACTAAATAAGAAGCTAGATTATTAAATATTAGGTCTCTTTCTTATTAAAAAAAGAGAGGGTAATACCTTTTGTCTAAAACTCCTTAACTTAATAAAAATCTACCTAGTTATATCCCCTAATAAGCTGTAAAAGGCGCTAGATAATCCCCTATTAGGACAGATTATTAACCTATAGGAACTATTAATAATAAATGGCTAGAAAGAGTGGGAACTAGATAGTATATAGGTAGTATATAGCTATTATAGTAGACTATAGTATTAGGTTAATTAATTAGGATATAATCTAGATAATAAATAGTACTTAGCTAGGAATTTTATAGGAAGCCTATATCTCCTAAAGGAGTTCTATAAGATGCATCCTGCTAAACTGGGCCCACTAAAAGGCCTAGAGAAATAGCTGGCAGCCTGGGACACAGGTAAGGACCTAGAGGAGGATAGTAATAATAAAATATTAATTAAAAGTATAAAAAGAGGTAGGCCTATAAAAAAAAAAGAATTAGTAGATAAGTAATCTTTTATAAATAATATCTAGATAGAGTGGCTATCTTATTATTCTTAGAATATTATAAGATAAATTCCCCTTAGGAATAGAGGGGTCTAAGTAAAGTAAAGTCTTAAGTAATAGGCTATAGTATAGAATAAGGTATCAAAAGAGCCACAGTGCCCTTATTAGTGTGAGAGTATTAAACATAGATTCATAAAAGAATTAAAGGCTAAATAGGGGGGTAATGTTATAGCGACGGCGAGGTTGTTTATATGCCTTAGGCAGGTTGTGGTGAATAGGGCCGCTATTCCTATTTTAGCTTAGTGCGGGAAAGGGGAGAGGGATATTAAATGCGCCTCACAACGCACCTCTCCCTCCTCTCCTCTTTCCCCTCCTCGTTCAAATATTTTAGTATTGAAGCCACCAATTGATTATTCATTTGCTTAGGGCCGTCACAGGTATACCCTTTTTTTACCTCCATGTTCAAGCGACACTCAGGCGTGTCGTTTGAATACGAGAGTCAGCCACTCCAGCAAGGCGATACTGGTGCTCTTAGTGCACCAGGCGACTTGTATGAGCAATTCTTACAGGATGAAGTTCTACCTGTGAATAGCTCTACGTTCCCTTTTAGCTATATCTTTGATGATGTCTTCTTCACCCTGCCAGAGTCTACACTTTCTGTATGACCTGTTCCAACATATAAGGGTATTTATATAAGCCATCAATATGATACCTAAAGGGATGGGCCTTTAAAGGACTTGTCGACAGCATTAGATTTAATTAGTGCAGTTGTAATATCTATATAAATAAGCTATATTGGCATCTTCCCCATCTGGATGTCCATCTCAACCTCTACGCAAAGATGAATGAGGCCCTGCCAGACCGATCCCAAGATACACCACCTGCTCAATGGCAGTGCTATAGGCTTTCAACACTTGCTGGCTGTTCATTGTTGACCAACAAATGAAATCACCTCGGCAGCAACGACGGTCAGAACAGGATCCACGCCCGGCACTGGCCTGGATCAGACTTGAGAGAGTTTTAGTAAAGATACAGTGTGGCACTGTTAGGGTTAGGGTTAGGGTTTCGGGTAGGACCTTATCATATTTTGAAATGGGTGTATATGCCGCTCATGGGCTGAAAACAGCAGTAGATAGCCTCTATGCACTGCTATATCTCTTGTATGGATTAGGGTCAGGTGAAGAATAGGGTTAAAGTAGGGTTAAGTGTAGCTGATGATCAGAGGCCATCTATACTGGTGGGCGACATCTACTTCACTCTATATAGCCCTCCATTCATAAAGAGATGGTACATACGACCATAGGGTGTGGAAAACAGGGCTTCCCGTCCGCTCAGCCGTACTTAAGCCACACGCCGGTAGGTTAGTAGTTGGGTGGGTGACCACCAGCGAATCCCTACTGTTGTATGTTTTTATTTTGACTTGGCCGTTGATTGAGTCTATTATTATACTTGCTCGTTGAAAGTAGTAGTTGACCTGCTATTTTTTGATTCATTTTTTATCTTTATATTGACAATGAAGAGTATGTTTCTTTGCTTTGGTTCATGTAATTAGAATCAACTTCCCCTGGTCTAGATTATCTCTGTATGTGTAAGGATTAGGCCTAGGGGTACCTAACCAACACGGCCAAAAGACCAACATTATCCGCAAGATACTCTTGCGGATAATGTTCACCTTTTCTGTATGTTATTCCCTTGTCATACAGTGTCTGTATTACAGATGAGCATTAACAGAATGGGGAGATGCTTGATGACACCCTGCTCACCCACTACCAAATTGATCAGTTGCTCCTTCTCCCGGGGAACCAGAAAGTGGATATCCCCTGGCTCCAGGCCCAGCTGGACTATGCGCGATTCTGTTCCTCCGTCATAGTGGCTATGCATAGTGGCCGAGCCTTGTTCTCACATCTACAGCAGCAACTCCTGCGCTGGAAGACAAGTCTCCTGCCTCAGTACTAAGACATTGATCAGGTACAGCGCATGGACCTGGGTGGCGATGTGGTGAAACTGGCCCTATTCCGTCAATATCACCGAGCGATTTTCACGATCCACCAGCTATGGGAGCCCCATTCAGGCTCGATGGTGATGGGCATCAATCAAAAGGATTGGATGGGTTCCTCAGCACAGTCAGAAAGCGAAAGCTTATCCCTTCAATCTGCCCAAGTGAGCCTAGGGAGCAGTGTTCATTTCTCATCGTCCACGAGCTGGTGAGAAAACCCTGATCCTGCCCCTTACACGGAGCAAATGGGCTAAATGTGTGCATTTCCAGCGCCCTATTCAATCTTGTGTGCCAGGCCTTTAGTGTGACTCTGACAGCTATTCTTGGCAATCCTTCCCAAGGGCATGATCTCGCGTACTTGAGTATGGCCGGTGGCTTCTTTGGCAGGATGCTGATGCAGGAACACATTCCCCTGGTTGAGATTATAGAGCTCGCTCGGATTGCTCCTGGTCGTAGCAGTCCGGATGCATCCAGGCAAAATTGTTCATTTCAAAGGCGCACCCGGCGGCCTTGGCCTCGGCGGGCGTGTGGCCGCAAAAGTCCGGTGGGATGTTGGCCGTGATGGTGATCTGCGAGAGGAGCGGGTTCCATGTGCGGCGGAGAAGCAAGGCCCCGATGACCAGCAGTGCGATGAACGTGGCCAGCGGTACGAGTATTAGCACCACCAGCCGGCCAGGGACCCAGCGGCGCCAGCCACAGCTTGTGTCGCGGCGCCGGGGCCGCTCGGCGCCATACGGCTCTGGACTGGTGGAGCGCGAGCGCGAGGGGGCCATCAGGCCTAATTTCTCATACGCAGCGGTGGTCAAAGGACGCATGGTGGACAGAAGTGACAACAGGGGCCCTATCAATCAGGATGTAAGTGATGCGTGAGGTGCTTGCCTGGCTTTTATGATATAGTCTACGTCCAGACCGAACTCCCGCCTCGTTCCCCTCACCGGTTGGATATCCTACTCTTGTTTCCGCATCCGAGAATGAAAGATGTGGATGGAATACTCGTCCAATCCGTCCGATATGTACTCCTTGCTTATCCTTCCAGCCAAGAATATCTCATTCTCCTTCGAGGCCGGAAATACGGAAAGGCATGGACGGATAAGGTGGGGCCAGTACGTCGGTTCCGGTTAGGCTTCGGTAAGAATAAGGTTACGGCTAAGCGGGTGCGGCAAGATCGGATCTGGTACCCGTGAGTTCTCTTTTTTAGTCAAGCGTATGAGTACTGTACATCTACAGTTATTAATGCTGCATTAAATCTATTTTAGTAGAGATTTACGCCTTTTGAATAGATGTATATGAAACTAGCCCAATGCATAGGTACATATATAAACTTAGATACTTGGGGTGTATAGTAATTCTGCTAACGCCTAGTCTGCAAAGCGAGAGCCTTCAGGGGGAAACTCATCGATAGCCTGCGTATCATCCCATCGATTAGCCTCCAGCCACGCCATGACTTCGTCTCTGCTCCGGCAAAGATGCGTCTGGCCCGATCCGTCTGCCGCGCCGCTGGCCTGGCCCATCCCCTCCAACGTGGTATCCAGACTACAGAGGATCGACTGGCGCAGATAGTTGAAGCAATGGCTGGCATGGTAGGAGTTATGCGTTGCATCGATGAAGTACTCTGAGCCATCAGGGCCATAGTGCAGCACCCGATGGTACTCCTTCATCACAAAATACTAGACATAGAAAATGAGTCCCTATATCAGTAGAATAATCTTAGATCTGAGGAACATACCAGACAATGCAGCTGGTGCACCCAGGCTGTGGAGTATCTGGAAGAGCCCTGTTGTTCAGGAATAAGATTCTTCATAGGCAGTGTTAAAGACGAGTAGTCCCTGAAATTGGGGATATCCAACACCCCATTGCCCCCTGCGATATAGCATTAGTGTGGGCTTATTGCTACCACCAGGGAGCCTGTCTCACGTGGCATTAAAGCGCTCCAGTTGTCCCATATTTTCGCCGTCATGTTGGGTTCGTCGGGGCCGGGGATGAAGTCATCAGTCGCATAATCAAAGGGGATATGCACCACCGAGACTGCATGGATTAGCTGGCTGCCGATGATGCGCAAGTACTTTCTCACACTGTGGGACAATCTGATTAAGATCATCGCCTGCTTTCCATGACGAAGGCTGAGAGGACCATTTCCAGAACAAGAACAGCGTAACCATCTGGCTGAGTACTAACCACAGCCAAAGGATCCCCCGATGATGTCGTTGAAGGAAGCTTGGGGGCCGGGGGACAGTCTGTAGGGAAGCGTATTCCCCCTTCCAGAGCTGCTCTCCATCGTCGTCTTCCTTTTGGTGATGATCTGATTTCATTACTAGAATCTGCCAATATACAAGATGGGGCTTGTTCTCGGCAAGCGCAGATTCGAGGATCCGACATGGAAATATACAGGCGGTCCTTCGGTTAAGCAGCTTCGGATGTTCGTAATCAAGATATCCGTCTATCCGCGATGGATCGTTTTGTATCAGATGAGGATGATCCTATTTAATGCATGATCTGGCTGTTGAGCACTCGATACACAGCAGTCTTCTTCTATTGACCATACTCCTCCAGCATCATGAAGTTCATCAGTTTGACCAGTTTCATCCTGCTCCTTGCAGCCACCAGTGCACTCCCCACCACGGGCCCTGCCACACGAGACTTGGGACCCAAGAAGAACCTCCCTCTTGGCTACAAACGGGATGTACAGCTTGAGTCTGCTGCGGCTGCAGTCAACACCATTCCACCCGAGGACGATCCGGATGTTGTTGACGGCACCCTGATTGCGACCTATGGATGCCCATGATAGGAAGTGAGTATAAGTACCTCCACATGGACTTGATCAAGGCACTATCTAATCTTGATTCGATGCACAGTATAGGAAGCAGTGACCTAAGACTTGGTGGTGGATAGTTCCTATTAGGCTTGCTTAGCTTCTGAGATCTAATAGAATACTCTTGATCCTGATCAATCTTATAAAGTTGTTATCAAAACTGTAGACTTGGCTAGCAATCACTAGGCAACCCCATTATTAATATATCCGTATGATTGACCCCGCCTGCAACTGTGGGGCTAGATTAAGAGCGGAGAAAGTAAGGAATATAAAGAGCCACCCCTCCCTTCTCTTGAAAGGGACAGACACCCTTTTTTCTACCTTTTTTCCCCCATCCCGCCTGCTTATCATAATGGCATCAGAAGTTGAACGTGCACCGCCCACTTCATCAGAGAATCACGTGGTCTGGAAGACTAGCGAGGACGCGATTGAGAAAGTCCCCTTTACTGGATCATGCCACTGTGGCGCAGTGCAGTTCTCTATGCTGCATGAGCCATTGACAAAGCACCATACATACCATATACCCGTCAAGTCCTGCAATTGCTCCATCTGCGCCCGGAATGGGTACTTGACGATCTTTGTGGAACGTCATGAAATTGAGTGGATATCAGGCTGGGAGGAGATGGCAAGATACCAGTTTACACCTAAGCACAAGGAGCACAGATTCTGTGGTACTTGTGGATCAAGTGTCTGTATTGACTTTCTGGGCAATTGGGCAGTGGGCGATGTGATTGGCATAAATGTACACCCTTGCCTTTAGTCTATATGGACTTCCTTACTGATCAAACCAGGTACGCATGCTCCATGGAGTTGATCTCGATGGACTGTTCATCCATAAAAAGAATGGGGCGGCAATTTGATCATCCTTCATGAGTCTCTGTCGATTATGAGCAGCTGTTGATTGCGCAAGGGAAGAAGCATTTTGATTTATATGATGATCTTTCACTTACCGGTAGAATCTATCAAATAGAGCCTTTAGTATGGGTTCGAGATTTATGATAGGATCGATACTATCCCTTCTCTCTATGCCTGTCTAGCTTTCAAGAACATGATGAAGTAGAGTCAATAGAGTCAATAGAGTAGAGAAGGTAGAGTGGATTGTATAAGAGGGATATAGATGTGAATCATTGTAAGTAGAAGAGGGATGTTTGTAGATCAGGTTACACATGTAGTATACTCTAGCTTTCAACAGACAGCCTTTAGGATTTAATACTAGCTCTTCTAGGGTTATATAACCATTGGGTGACCACCAGCGAATCTCTACTGTTGTATGTTTCTTACTTGGCCGTTGATTGAGTCTATAATACTTTATTATACTTACTCGCAATCATACTCTGTACTTAGTTTCTACCCTGTGGTGCTAGAGGTGTGTATATCCTACTGTTATACTACTGTTGATGCCTGTTTTTCCTTTACGCCTGCAGCGGACTTCTCCGCCTATAGTTACTATTTTAGAAAGGGGCGGCAATTCTCCGCTGCAATAGTCAGTGGCGAATCCAGTCGGGTCTCTTGGCGCCAAGAACTCCCTTTCCAATAGAGGGCATAGGAATTACTAGTTCACTCTCTAGCAGGCCTGGGCACGATGGATAGAGTTTAGCATGAAAACGCCCTGTTTTTGCCTGCCAAGCAGCTGCAGGGACCCTGGACTCTGCCGTCTCTGATTCGCTCGCCTAAATACTACAACATCAGCCTCAGCTCTCACCTGATCCTGTTTCTTCTTTCTTGAGTCCTTTTCCTTTTTTTAAATAGCAATGTGTTCTTCTTTCCTTTCAAGTCACTCCTTTCTGTTCTCTCTCTCTCTCTCTGAATATTCACTCGTTATCCATTGAAAATGCAGGTCTTACGCTGGGCCCCCTTCCTCCTCCTCCTCAACCCCGTCGTGGGTTCTGGAGTGCAACTGGAGGAGGTTGTGACCTGCTCAGCCGTGCAAACCATCCCCAATCCCTCGTTCGAGGATGGCTTCACGGACTGGGGATACGCCTCGGGCACCACCGGCTCGGTGGTCAGCGCCAGCGACGCCGCCGACGGCTCGTACTATCTCGAGGCCACAGACAGCCAGGTCACCGCGTTGCTGATCTACCAGCGTCTCAGCAACCTGGTCACCGGCGACACCTACAGCGTCTCCTTTGAATACCGCATCCTCCCCAACAACGACCATGTGTCGATGAGCTGCTATCTCGCCTCCTACATGGACTCCTTCACCTCCTCCGGCCGCCTCGCCCAGACGTCGCTCACCGTCTCCAGCAGCATCGTCGGCTGGAGCACCCTGTCCGGCTCCTTCACCCCGACCACCTCGACCACCCACACCTTTGAGATCTACGCCTACTGCTCCGACACCAACAGGGACTACACCGGCGCCGCCGTCCAGATCGACAATGTCGTTATCTCCGGCCCGACTACTACTACCTGCTCCACCTCCATCATCACCATCACGCCCACGCCTACGCCCACGCCTGTCGTGACGCCTGTCGTGACGCCTACGGAGCTGTCCTCCTCGGCGGCGGTGACCTCGTCGGTCGTGCTTTCCAGTGCAGTCGCTCCTTCTTCTTCTTCTCCTTCTTCTCCTTCGCTCCTGCCCTCTTCTTCTGCCGTGTCTGTGTCCCCTGCTTCTTCTGCTGTCTCCTCTGTACCAGCCGTTTCAACTGTGTCTTCCGCTGTATCTTCCGCTGTATCTTCAGCTGTATCTTCAGCTGTATCTTCAGCTGTATCCTCTGCTGTATCCTCTACCCCCCCGTCGGTGGTTTTGTCTTCTCGTCCTGCCTCTCAGTCTTCTCAGTCTTCTCAGTCTGTTTCGTCTGCCTCGGCTTCGTCGGTTCTTTCCACTCCTTCAGGCTTCATCAGGTCTCGTCAGCCTTGCAGATCGTCGGTCCCTTGGTCTTTCCCCCATGCTTCGCCCTCGGCCACTCACCCTTTTCCTCCTCCCTCTTCCTCGTCGGCTCCTGTCTCGTCATCCGAGCTGGTTGTGCCCCCCAGCGCCGTTCTTCCAGTGACTGTCACCGGTGGTAGCTCCATTCTGCCCTCCACTGTCTCGACTTTCAGCGTTGCTTCTATCTCTACTTCTGGCGTTACTGATGTTACTACCACCGGATCTACATCAACTGATGTTTCCACTGGCCATACCAACACAAGAACCCACACTGGCAACCCTGGCGCTGGCTTCACCACTTCCACCGTCTTGACTACTCGTACAGCCACCATCACTGCCTGTCCTTCCTTCGTCACCGACTGCCCTGCCAGGGAACGTTCGACCTATCTTACCACCGAGACTCTCGTCGTTTCCACCACTATTTGTCCATTGACTGCCGAACCTACAGCCACCCGCGCTGGTCATGGCAATGGCAATGGAAATGGCCATGGTTCTGGCGAGCAGGGATATACCACTTCGACCATCCTCAGCACTCGCACAGCGACCATCACTGCCTGCCCTTCGACTGTCCTCGACTGTCCTGCCCGTGAGAAGACAACTTACCTCACCACCGAGACAGTCGTGGTGGCAACCACCGTCTGCCCTATCACTGAGGCGACTGCTACCGCTGCTGGCTCGTCTGGCAGCTCGGGGGCCTCTGGTCATGGTTCTGGCTCTACTTCCGGTTCTGGGTCTGGGTCTGGCTCTGAATCTTCTGGCAGCTCTGGCTCCAGCTCTGCTTCTACTTCCGCTTCTGGTCCTGGTTCTGGCTCTGAATCATTCTCAGGCTCCAGCTCTGGTTCTAGCTCTGGTTCTAGCTCTGGTTCTAGCTCTGGTTCTAGCTCTGGCTCTAGCTCTGGCTCTAGCTCTGGCTCCAGCTCTGGCTCTAGCTCTGGCTCTAGCTCTGGATCTACTTCCGGCTCTTCTTCAGTTTCTGGCTCTGGTTCTAGCTCTGGCGCTGGTTCTACCTCTGGCGCTGGTTCTGAATCTGGCTCTACCTCTGGTTCTACCTCTGGTTCTACCTCTGGTTCTACCTCTGGTTCTACCTCTGGTTCTA